AGTTCCTCCAGGAGAAGTAACTGTCCTAATTTGATTGAGAAAGTCCTGAGACTTCCACACTAGCCAGGCACTGCGGGGATGCACCTGACAGAGACGTGGACATTTCTCCTGGGGAGGATGGGACAGGAAGTCCCGCCCATCTGCATGTCACTTAAAGCGTGTTTCCATAGGGGCATCTTTGCTACTTGGGAGGGTTCTGTCCCAGCTGGTTCTTACATAGTCTCCTCCCCCTACCCTCTGCCTGGGACCCATCCTCTTCTGGGAGCATTTAGAGGCAACAGGAAGGAACCAAGTCACTAGGGAATGCAGGGAGGATGGTTCATAGTCTGCAGAGAATTTCCAGATAGTTCCACCCTCCTCTCAGTTTGGGGTTAAGAAGATTCCAGATGACTCTTTATGAGCAGGGTCCCTCCTGAGGACTGGGTGGGGGGCCTTGAAATTCAAATATTTTGGTTTGGTTTTGGTTTGGGGGCTACATCGGGTGGTGCTTAGGGCTTACTCCTGGCTCACTATGCAGAAATCACTGCTGGTGGTGCTGGGGGAACCATATGTAATGCTGGGGGTCAAACAAGGGTTGGCTTCATGCAGGGCAAGCGCTTTAACCCCTGTGATAATCTCTCCAGCTCCTAGACCCAGGCACTAAGGGGTATAAAAAAGAGCCCATCATCTTGGGCCCACTATTGTGTTCTCCAAACCACAGAAGGGAGCTTTGGTGGATGTTGGAGAGAGAAGGAATTCTTTATGGAGCTGTGCGTAGGGACACAGAACTCAGCAGTTGCTTGTGTGATGGTGGAGGTTTGTAGGCCAACAGATGCTAACAGTGTCATGGAAATGAAATCAGCTCCTCTGTAGGAAACTCTTAGGTGCGTCATCCACAGCCAGTGCTGTTCCTACGTGCAGAAGTTCACTGAGACCTGGCCCCACCAGACCCACCAGTATTCCCAGTGCCTCGCTCGTTTGGGCTTGCCCCAAGCTATTTATCCCGGCTGCTTCGGTAACAGCGGGGAATCTTTGTGTACCTGAGGTGAGATGCCACAATTCACCTGGCAGTTACAAAACACACACCTGCCTCCAGCCATCCCTGGCCTGGGCACCTTTCCCGTTCCTTTGTTGGGGAGCTGTGGGGAGAAGGCACCCCAACCTGCCCAGTGGTTCTGGGGACAGAAGTTTGCTTCCAGTCATGAGGTCAGGAATGGTTGACACTGTGTCACTTTCTTCAGCTACCTCTGCAGAAAAACACTGTGGGGTTTTGTGCTGGTCTCTAAATCTCCAGGACTCTCTATGATGTCCCAGTAGTTAAAAGCCAGCTTTCCAGCCAGATAGGGGCATTCCCAAATCTCTTTGGCCTACTGTCCCCTTGCTTTAAAAAAATAAAAAACACTTCAGTGCCCCTGGAAATGTACCTTCTTTTAGGGGAATAAACAGAAAGCATCTCCAATTTTCCACCCAGGCTACTGCTATACCCTGCTTTCCAGGGTTTAGCATTTCTCAGGCAGGGCCATCACACCCTGGAAGGGGTCCCAGGATAACCCAGGGGTCATAGGTGAAAATAGTATTATCAGGGCATCCACAGCATAACCCTAGAAGACCAGCTTGTGGGACAGGGCTGCAGGAGAGAACCTGGTTGGAAAAAGGTTGAGAAACTGGTACAGACATCTTGCTTCTTAGAACTCTGGCCTGTGGTGCTGGAGCAATAGGACAGCGGAGAGGGCATTTGTTTTGCACTTGGCTGACCCAGGTTTGATCCCTGGTATCCCATAGGGCCCCCCCAGTACTGCCAGGAGTGATTCCTGAGTGCTGAACCAGAAGTACCCCCTGAGCAACGCTCAGGTGTGACCCAAAAATTTAAAATAAAGACCTCTGGCCTGCAACCCCTACAGAACACATTACTGTGAGGGTGGCAGAAATATTTTTGTGATACTTTATGTTTTATTATCAGTAAATGTTTCATCAGTATATATATTCAGTATATATACATTTTTCAGATCTAGATTTGATCCCCAGCATCACATGCTTCTCTGAGCCCAGCCAGGAGTGACCCCTGAGCACAGAGATGGGAATAATACGATCCACTGTACTATCTGTCTGGACCCTGAAAATTCAGTAAAACTAGAGCATTTTCCTCATACTAGATAATCTGTTTTGAAAAGACTTCCCATTAATTATTTGGTGGTGTGTTTTTTTTCCCCTGACATTTGTCTACCATTTTTCTTCTCTAAAACAAATACAGAACTTCTGGGTAGAACTCAAATGACTTAACCTTCAGTGTCAGAGCACACACATTTGTTTCCAGAATGTTTTTTTGGCAACTTGGTGCATGTTTCAGCAATGGTGAGGGCTACAAGTCTTTAAAGATCCGGGTCTGTGATTTTTCCCATGATTTTTCCTCATGGTGTCCTGCCCATAATTGCCTGCAGGAGCTGATTTACCCACATCTTAGCAGTTGCAGTGATTATGTTTTGTAATGATTTGTACCTCATCTCTCAAGATCATCTGTTCCCTGCTCCATGATTAAAAAATAGACTCTGAGATGGGCAACTCTGCCAGTAATTTTACTCTGCCAGGCCAAGGATCCTGGGGCTTGCTTCCAGACCCTTTCTCTCCAAGATCAGTGACCACCCGATCATCTGCCGTGAAACAAGATGCAAAGGGGAAACTTTGGGATTTTTTTCACAGTGCAGATGTTATTCTTGGGCTTGGTTTCTCATTTTTGCCTAACTGGTATTGAATATTTTCACTATTGTAAATGTTATGTTTGTTTTGATCTGCTGTATGGTTTAACTCTTTTCTGATTTCCATTCCCTTTCTGATGCTCTCTTGACCAATTGACAAATCAACCTCTCCCCAGGCCACTGTTTGGCATAATTGATCATAAGCTAAAATAAGAGGATTGACAGCATCAGAGACAATGTCATCCTCTTTTAAAACAGCTCACCGTGATCAGATTAAATTCATTTCTCATTTGTTGGGGTCATAATGAAAGTGGATTTGATGTGAACTCAAAGGCTTCTTCTCTCTGACACTGGTGGTGTTTGTTTTTATCACTGAAGAATTTCTTGTCCAACTTGAATCAGAAATTCCTGGATTTTCAGTGGCATTTTATGCTCAAAACACTAGTAGGGGAATGAGGAGACTCAGTCCAATTCTGTCATGTTAAGATTTATCTTAGAAATTCTGTGGATGTGTGTAACAATATACATTTATGTTAACACAGTGGGATAATTATTTTTATTGTAATTTTTGGAGCTGTCTCAAAGACTGTTTCTTCTTCACCTCAATTCCCCCAATCAAGATTCTGCCATTAGCTCATCACACATTTTTTCGACACTATTCAGAAGACTCCCATGGTAAAATGAAGGCTCTTTCTCCATCCACAGTACAGATGCGTCCAAACCATGTGTGGTTTTATTCATGCCCACGACAGGCGTAAGTGGTACCATTGGAATTTAAACCACCTACCATGAATTCTGCTATCGCTTGTGTCCTTCATGAAAAAAGAGTCAACATAAGCATCTTCGAAAAAAAGTTCTAGGGGCTGTAGAGACAGTTTGGTGGGTCAGGTGCTTATCTGGCACAAGGCTGACCTGGATATCTTAGAACATTGTCATTTCTCAGTTTCTCTGTTTTTCACATATTACACGGAAGGATGTGTTAGTATGCCAGTTTTTTCTTTTCTATTTCTTACATTAGGGTAAGCAAATGCTTTTGTGTTTCATTATCCAAATACTTATGCTTAATTAAATGACTTGTATAATGACTGTCACTGTCACTGTTCTCCCGTTGTTCATCGATTTACTCGAGCAGGCACCAGTAACGTTTCACAAGAAATTGTGAGCCTTGTTACTGTTTTTGGCTGACCTGGGTTCATCCCCCTGAGCACAGAGCCAGAAATTACCCTGAGCTTCGCCAGGTGTGGCCCAAACACAATTTTTTAAAGGAGGAGCAGCTTTAGATCATTAAAGCTGTATGGATTTTGATCCAGCCATGAGATTCAAGGCTTAGGAAGACTTAGGTGGCAGGATGTGACCTCTATTTCGGAGATGACGGTAGCCTAATTGTGGCCTCATGAAAGAGCAGGAAGGACAGAGGAGGACTCATCTGCCTCCTGACTTTTCCTGAAACACTTTTGGGAGCCCCAAAGCCTTCCCCATATGGCTTTTGGGAAGAAGCTGGAGCTTAGAGCCGTCACCCTTCCTAATGGCCTCTGCTGATATAGCACTGTGTATTGTACACACAGCTGGGAACTTCAGTTCCTGGTGGTTGACAGAACACACACTCGCCTTTTCCCTAATGTTCAGAATTTGTGCTTCCCGAGTCCACGCTTTCTTCCTTTTATTCATTCTTCCTTTAGCTCTGTCATGAATCACAGAAGTGTGATCCATTGTCTGTACACAAGCAACCAAGAGAGAAGATGAATGAAACAGGATTTCTGTGGGTTGATCTCTCACGGGAGAGAAAGTTCCAGAACATACATTCCAAAACACTCCTGCTGGGGCTTCTGTATTGTCGTTTTTGCTCTGGTGTCCCCTCTGAAACTAGGTTCTCAAAAACAAACTTTTAGTTTATTTTTTTTCTCATCCTGCCAGGAAAAATCAAAGCTTGCGTATTTGTAGATCTCCTGGCAGGGACCGGCCAACGTTTTTTTTAGCTGATGATCAAGAACAGATTCCCTTTGTTCGGCTTAGCTAGTAGAGAGAGATTCTGAGGTGGGGAGGGAATTAGAGCGGGTGAGTGAGTCCCAGACAAAAGGAGAAAGGCAGAGCGTGGGTTTACCTGCAGACCTCTCTGGAAAATGCTGACTATCCCAACCGCCGTGACGCCCCTTGCTCAAATGTGCCCAGATCGCAATTTTTTGCAAAGCTGTAAAGTGCATTTCTGTCATGTGGTGTGAGTTTCATGTCAGGTGCAGCGATTTGCATGTAAATTCTGAAAATTTTCCTTGTCCCACGTGACACCTCTGAAATGTCTGTCTGTTCTTTTTTCCTCTTTACTTTCTCAAGCTCACTATTTGGATAAGATAGTGAAAGGTACTGTATACTCGCTCTTTGTTGCTCTATCTCCATATTTATCTATTTATAACTGTGTTTCAGATTGCACTAGGTTTGAAAATAGACTGTTTTTCATGCATATTTTTGTAAGCTATAAAATCAGGCTCACATATGTGAATTGCCTTGGATTTAAAGAACTGAGACGTAAATGTCTGTGTCTCATTTTTATAATTTGGGGTTATCAGACTTCATTCTTATGTAAAAGCATTAGTTTTCACTGGAACCAAAAACTGAAGATGGCTGTACATTTGCTGTTTTTTGCTTTTTTTATTTTTTTTTTCTTTGCCGGAAGCTTCTCATTGTTGACAATTCCCTGAATGAGCTTTAAATTTAATTCTAAATTGAAGGATCTTTCTGATCTCAGAATAAGAAATTGTCTAAAGAAGATTCCAGTTAACCTCTGTCAAGAGAAACCTCATTTGTCATGCCCTCTAGGGATGCATCTTTGACTTTTTCTCAGAACTCATGCAGTACCATTATTGAGGTTTTCTTTTCTTTGGACAAACCAAAACTACTGTGGCTTCTACCAAACTAATGATGGCACCACTCAGCAGAAAACAGCAGATTCTCGTGTCTTCAGTTGTCATAGAACTAGGTGGAAACTATTTTTTCAGAAGAGAAAATCCCCTTTCCCTTGCTCCTCGGATTACCTATTTCTATTCCTTGTTTGTGCTTCTCATTAGAATATGAAAATATTCATGGCAATATCCAGGCTTTCCTATAAGAACTCATGGGTGCATGCTCTCAGCCACTGCGCCTCTTTGTCAATGGGGCAATGACATCTTTTTTGTTAAAAACAACCAAAAAAAATTTTTTAATCATACACCAGGAAAATCCCCCTTCTATGTCTGGAAAAATTCACCAATACCGAGGGTCATTGTGGGAGAGAAAAGCAGCGGCCAAATTAATCTCATCCTGGCCCTATGAAAACCATAAGGATAAATCCATCCTCCCTCGCCACACAGAACTAACCAAATCTTCTTTCTCTTAACTCTGCTCTTAAGAGACAGAACATCTCTCAGAGATATTTTTATATCCCCTTCTGCTGTGGAGGAGGGGAAGCCGACCAAATAAGTCCTTTCATACAAACTTCAAATAAACATCCCAAAACAAATTGTTCCCTTAAATTTGTCACTGAAACAAGGGTAGCGATCATACAGTAAGATGCTGTTTGGCAAATTCCAATTCGTGCTAGCGAATTTTTTTTTTTACAAATATCCAGATCATACCAAATTATGAGGAATTCTCTGCAGAGAGCTCTAATGGGCAGCCAGTTATTCTGACCACCTTAGATCATTGTCATCCGTGGTTCTCTCGGTGCCCTCATAGACTGAATTCTCGAATGTACCTGGCAATTACCCTCACCCACAGATCATGTTGGCTGCATGCCAGATTATCATGAACAGAAAAAAAAAAGGGGGCAAGAATTTGTTTTTCTTTTTTTTTTCTTTTTAATGTCATGTTAGACTTAAACAAGTATAGATTTTGGATATATTCAATTATTTTAATCGTTTCCCAAATTTTCCCTCCTTGCCCATAAAAGCAGACAAGATAGGATATAAAGGTAAAGCACAGCATCAAAAGCCTTAGGGAGATTGTCACAAAATATCACTCTTCCGCGCTCTGTCTTGAAGCACGCCACTACCGTGTTTTTGTTCAGTGTTTTAATGTGGTCCTGATGGTATTTCATTTTGTCCGTCCTAAGTAATCCAATATGCACAGCTCTTACATTGAGTTGAGAACCCTTGTCGATCCCGTCCCATCCGTATGCAGCCCGAATCCCGATGTTTGTTAGATTAGCTGCTAAAGCTGCTTCACTCTTTCCTGGGCTTTGCTTCTTCTGTGAAAAAGGAATGTCCTCTTGGCATAAAGTATAGTCATGAATCCCGGCCTATACTTTGTGCGGTGACTTAATGCACTGTAATTTCACATGCATAGACGGCAACTCTGAGGCCAGACAAAATTAAAGTTCTCTTTGGGATCTCAGCTCATGACTTCATCCCCACGTCCATGCTTTTCAAATTGCGAGGGCATTTTTTTTTAAAGCAACAAGGTGTTTCCAAGAAGGCCTGGCTACCTGTGGGGCCCCGGTGGGGGAAGCAACTCTGCTTAAGGATTTGAAGCAACACTCATGGCGATGCTTGGGGTGCAACGGCCAACCAACCTTGTTGCTTTGCTGAAGGAAAAAAAAATTTGCAGTTAATTTTGTCTGGCCTGCAGCAGTGTGGTGGGGCTTCCTCTATTTCGTGCTTCACAGGTAAGTGGTGTCTCAAGGGTCAGGCCAAAGATACCACTCGGCTCCAGAACTAGATTCCGTAGTGAAGGTTGCTGTTTTTATCCATGTGCAATTACAGTATTTGTGCTGTTTCGAAAGGCCTGTTCCCACTAAGTGTCTCTTCTCTGTCTCTCCGTGGCGGCGTGTCCAGGTCAGACTCAAATCAGTGCTGTTGTCCTTCTTTGTCTCTCCTCACAGAGGGATGCCCGGGGCTCTGCAACAGCAACGGAAGATGCACCCTGGACCAGAACGGCTGGCACTGTGTCTGCCAGCCCGGCTGGCGAGGAGCAGGCTGCGATGTGGCCATGGAAACCCTGTGTACAGACAGCAAGGACAATGAAGGAGGTAGGTAGGCACACAGGCACCAAGACGGACTCCGACCAGTCGCACGGGATCTGTCACCAAGACCCAAAGAACAGCACCCCAGTCCTCAACGGCTCACTCCTTCCACTGCAGGCTCACATCACTTAACACGGAGGTCACACCAAAAGAATCAAATAAAAATGGCACCAGGGAAAGATTTCTGCACATGCAGTGCCAAGGTGGAGAGAAAAGATGGGAGGGAACGCTTTTGCTTTGGCATCTGACCCTGCTTCAGTCCCTGGCACCCCGTGGTCCCTCAGGCACTGCTAGGCGTCACTCCTAAACACAGAACCAGGACTAGGCCCTGAGCATCATCAGCCCCCAAATGGATGTAATTCTAAATCCACCATGTCCTGAATTCGAGGCGTTACTGTCAGCACTCCCCTGGGGTACATTTCTCATGCCGTGAGCAGTGGTGAGCAAAGAGGGACTGACATGTTGGTGCTGGTGGACACCACCCGTGGCTCACACTTCAGTGTGGTGTCATTGGCACAACTCGAGACGCCGGTGGCAGGGTGCAAACGTGAATATTCAGCACTGGGAAAGGGGCTCATTCCCTCTTCCCGGAAGTCAGTACAAGGGAATCATTCGGGGCAAGGGGTTGAGTAATGGCCTTCCTCTCCCATCCCCCTCACAGTGGAGTGTCACTGTGATGCTGGGGAGCTCAGAGCAGTGTTTGATCACCCACATCTTCCAGAGACAAGCCCTGGGCCCAGCCCTTGTGGGGTCAGTGGGGCGGAGAGAAAAGAGCAGAGGAAGGCGGCTGGCAGAAATGCCTAGCATGCGCCAGACCCAGGCTTGGTCCCCGACCCCTCTAGGCCCCCAGGTGTCACCAGGTGTCATTCCCAGTGGTCCCCAACACCCACAGGCTAGAGCAGCAGCTCAGGCCCTGGATTGGCTAAGAATTGTGAAGCGGGAGCAGGTGCAGCGAACCTTGCACTCAAGGGCGTGGGGTGGATCCTGGGTGCTGCCTGGTTCCTGGTATGGGAGCCCCATCCTCAGGCCCCCAGGAGCTGACAGCCCAGCTCCAGGCCTCCAGGAAGGCCACAGCTCCCCCCTCCCTGGCTCCCTTGGCCCCAGGCAGTGGGCAGCAGTTTAACTACCCTCTCTGCTGCCCGCTGCCCTGGGCCCTCAGGGCAGGTGCCTCCCCCTCCGTGTGCCCAGGAGATGCCCTGTTCCTCCTCATCAGTGCTTTGCCTGGGCTGTAAGAGTCGGGGTGTTCAGGCAGGAGGACGCAGGAAAATCCTTCGTCAGGCCAGCCCCAGCGTTCTCCAGAGCAACTCCTGTTGTCTCGTGGGCCTTTTAGAATGTTCTCTTGACTGAGCACAGTTCATCCAAGGTGGGTGAAGAGCCGCTTGCTAGGAACTGTTCTCTAAGAACCTACAATCCACCTCTCCCTGACACATACCTCTCTGACACACACACAGAAACACATCAGACATATACACAGATATACACCAGATACATGGACACAGACATACACAAATGGACAGAGATGCACACATGACACATAAATACATGTACCAGACACATGTACAGATACACATATCAACATACACCAGACACATGTACAGAGACGCATACACACGCATGTTGACAGAGACAGAGAAGTATGCAGACCTGACACAAGTACACAGACACACACAGACACATAGATACACACACAGTGACACATAAACACCAGATATGTGTACACAGACACATACACAGATACACATTAACCCATGCCAGTTATATGTACAGACACACAGTCACAGAAGCATTGAGATACATGTACAGAGACGCACACATTCTCACATGTGCACATACTCATACTCACACAAGCTCATTATTCATACACATACACACCTCATATATGCATACGCAGAAGAATGCATACCAGACATGTACACAGACACACACAGATGTATGCAGGTACATACACAGTGACACACAGAGACACACATACACCAAAGCACACTGACACACAGGTACACAGAAACACACATTGATGTACATGTCCATAGACACGCAGACTCAGACACTCAGGCACTCACACCAAACCTATGTATTGCAGGGTCTCTGCCTCCAGATTCTGGCAGGCTCTGGCTCTCCCTCTCCCTTCATTTCCACAGAGGTTAGGAGAAACTTGAACCTGATGGGGAGCTACATCCTGATGGGAGGGAGCCGTGGCTCTCAGACCTCACAGCCCTGCCCACGGGAGATCCCTGGAGAGGCTCTTGCTCACGTGCCCAGCACCATGCTCATCACCCTCAGACCCAGTGCAGGCCAGCCGGCCCCTCTCCTCCTTGACCCTGAGGAGGATGCAGATTCTCACAGGAGTACGTGCCACACAGGCTGAGTTTGCAGCTACATGGCAGAGTCACGGAGGGTGGAACCCCCAGCCCCGGGTACTGTCAGCTGCAGAGTCTCCTTTGTTCCTCCAAACACGTCTGCTAGGAGTCGGCCTGTTCCCTGCTTGGCTTCACTCTGGTGTCTTCTGTCAGGGAGAAACTTTCAGCAGATGGAGATTTCTCTGAGGTTTATCCTTCCTTTCATGCATGAGTAACGGACTGTTGGCCTCTAAGTAGGGTCTTTCCACTGGTGAGATCATACGTCGTGTTCCATACAATCTCTTTAGATACTTATGGGGATGACTTTATGTCCAGTTCATCAAGAACATTGAAAAATGCCCAGTAACTATCTGGGGAAAACAAGATTCAACCAGATTACCATAGTGTCTGGGGGGCTGGAGGGGTGATAGGGGCCGAAGAGCTAGTACAGTGCGTAGGAATCTTGGCTTAGTATGAGGCTGACCCAGGTTTGGGTCACCTCATAGAGTCCCTTGAGCCCCACCAGGAGCGATCCCTGATTGCAGAACGAGGAGTGAACACTGACATAGCTGGGTGTGGCCCAAAACAAACCACAAAGTAGGTGGATGTGGGGAGCAGATACCATGTCTAGTGAGAACCCACCAGGAGACGGGTGTTTGTACCGTCACACGGCAAAGAGCAGCGTTGTGTTACTAAAACGTCATTTCCACCCGTGTCTGTCACCTAGTACCTAAGAACTGAATTCACTCTTCCCCTTATTTGGCAAATACATTGGCATCTGCTTGATGCCAAGAAGTATCGTGGATGAGGAGGGTACAGCCAGGAGTTAGATCTAGCCCTCCCTCTAGAAGCATCGTGGGGCCATCATCTAGGCGGATCACAGCAGGGATTGGTAGTGGTGGGAGAGAAAGGTCTCTGAGGGAACGGTCATTGGGAAAGGTCTTCTCATGATGAGGATGTTGATTTGATTCTTGGATTCAGTAAGAACTAAGTCAAGGAAGCAGGTTAGCTGGAGAGGGGGGATCATCACATTCTATTTCCATAAAGGTGCTTGTGACCCAAGTGTAGAGCCGGGCTGAGATTAGAACCTGGGAAACAAGAACAGTTGTTGAGGTCTTATCCAGAGCTCACAAGGGAGGCCTGATAATCGCTTTCTTGGCTGGCATAGAGCAAACTCGGCTGACTCTCTGATCCTGGAAGTTTGGGTAAGGAAGTAGGTGGAGAGGAAAGGGAAGGAAGACTCGAGAGTAACGTTCAGATCTCTTCTCTGAGAAACAGAATGGTTTGAACTAGGAAATGAGCAAGAGACAGAATGTTTCAATGAGATTGTGTGCTTTAGCCATGTTAGATTTTCGATGCCAGTGTCATATCCAGTGGAAATATAGAGAAGACAGATTGTTGATGTTGGAATTCAGGAGATTTATCCATATGGAGCCACCAGCATTGAAAGAAAGCACCGAAGGAGACAAATCCAAAATATACTGAAAACCAAAACATGATCCCAGTTCGGTAATAAGTACATTTCATGACAATTGAACATAGTGAGTTTAATTGGTAATGAAAGGTATCTAACCTGTACTCTTAGAAAATTCTGAAGTTCACATAAGATCCTGTATTGAAAGCTGAATCTCGAGGAAGGGGTTTTTAAATACTGTGAGAAATGGTAGTTGGCATTAATCATCTTTGCAGTTAAAAAGAAAACTCACCAAAAAGAAACATATGACTTTCTGATTTGGGAATCAAGATTTTGAAAAACAAAATACCCATAATGGTTCAAAGAACAAAGCGGCAATTTGTGGGGCTGGAGCCATAGCACAGCAAGGCCGTTTGCCTTGCTCGTGGCTGATCAAGGTTCAATTCCCAGCATCCCATATGGTCCCCCAAACACTGCCAGGATAATTCCTAAGTGCAGATCCAGGAGTAACCCCTGTGCATCACTGGATGTGGCCCAAAAAGAAAAAAACAACAATGACAAAAAGTGGCAGTTTTTATCATCGAGTAAGTTAGAGCTAGCTCAGAGGATAACCAAGTAAGAAACACATGTGAGAGAAAGTTTGGGTATTTGATCTTGGTGACTCGGTATGACAGTGAGCAAAAGGTATGACATATGCCAAAAGAATGAGATGTTAGTAAAATTTGCACTGTTTAAATTCGCCAGGAAGTACAAGTGTCAAGAATGAGGACTCCAAGAGAATAATATGGCAGGAGAGCAACTTTAAAGCAAGACCAGAGATTGGCAAGTAGTTGCCCTTGGGACCAAGCCTGTTAGTGTTAATAAAGTTTTATTGGAACACAGCTCCACCAGCCACTAACCAGAATAAGATTGCTTTGGAGTGCTAACTCCAGAGTTGAGTAGTTTCAACAGACTGCTCCACAAAGCCTTAAGTATAAGATATCTGGCCTATACCAAATAAATTTATCCAGCCCTGTGAAAATCCGTGGAAGCCCAGGAAAGAGGGGCATTTGCTGAATAAGGGTAATGGCCAGGTGATGGGAAAGAAACTATGGAAGGATCTGGAAGGGCACTTTTCGCCCTGTTGCCTGCATCCAGGTATCACTTGCATCAGAAGGCACCTCTCTGATTAGAGCCATGAAACTCGGCGGGTTTGGAGCAGTTCTGATGTTCTGTAGATTTTTTATGAATATTTTTATTTTTTATTAGCTATGGCTTCTCTACTTATCTCCATCTCAACCAACCTAATATTCCAGAGACGAGGCATGATGATTCCGAGAAGCTATCCCATGAAGACAGTTTTACTGACGTGTCCATTTCCGCACGAGGGCAATCAACATGGTTGGCCCCGGCTAGTCCTAGCTATCTGAGCACAAAGAATGAAAAATGCTTTCGCAAGTTATGGGGAGCCAGATTCATAACCATCCGTCACTTGCATGGGCAAGTTACTGATAAAACGCGGCGGAAAAAATAACACACAGTGTGCCCCTGCATCTTGGCTGTTGAAAATGAGATTCTTTCCCTGATTGATGTTAGCAGAGAAGCTTGTAAAAATGCATTTCCCACTGATTAGTTCAGAAGGTGTCAATCTCGTGCAGTTTTATGACCTGCAGACTACATGCCAGATGTACATTTGCTTTTTATAAACTAACAAAGATGAATGACTAAATTTGAGCCTGCCTCTTTGGCAACTGGACCATATACTGTCTAGAGGAAGAGCCAGTGGGGGACTGTGGTGGAGAGGGGAAAGGGAATGGGGGGATGTTAACCCTTCATTTACTGGATTTAACCCTTCATTTACTGGACCAGTGGTAATCAAGTATCATCTTTAGCAGTTTTTCCACTGTAGAATGGTTCCAGTTTCAGGATTGAATAAAAGGGAGAAACCAGTGAAAGTCTCGAGTCAAATATTTGTATTCAGTTACCATCTCAAGCATATACACACTAGTGTAAATCCAGGAAATAAGACTTCTTAAATACATCATAAAGCACGTATTAAAGTGTTCTCATAAAGTCCTAGCATGTAATCGTAAATTGTTCCTGAAAGGGTTTTTCTTCCATTATTTTATTTTGAAACTACGAGTGATACTGGGACAGTAGGTTCATAATCACCTGCTTCCAATATCTGAGTCTTATTTACTATTTCTTCAAAGGATATTGAGAAAGCTATTTTGTTATTAAAATTATCATTTTCATTATTATTATTCATAAAAATAAGTCCCTTATATAGTTTCTCTCTTTTGGAAATATTTGGACTTTTTTTTCCTAATCTTCCTGTCCTTTTGGCTAAGTTAGGATTCCATTATTGTGAATTTCTATGAAATCTCAAGGTTCAGTTTCATATGGCTTTCTAGAGAATAAATACGGGGCTGGAGAGACTATTGCAAATAGGGCTCTCTCCTTGCATGAGGCTGACCCAGATTCCATCTCTTGCATCCCACCTAGCTCCCACCAGTAGTGATACCTGAGTACAGAGTAAGGAATAAGCCCTGAGCACCACTGGATGTGGCTCAAAAATAAAAAAAAAAAAAACAAAGAAAAAATATGCTTTTTCAAATAATAATCTTTTTAGAAATTTAAGAGAAATTTTCATGAAAATGTCATGTAATAAGGAAATAGATAAGAAGTTACAAGACCTTATCAGTCATTCTTACATTTTCATTGTACCTAGAAACTGTGATGATAAAAAAATAACTGAAATAAAAAGAATCAAACCTCAGTTCAATTCAGTGATTAAGCTTTGTGTTTTCCTAAAGACAAAGAAAGGAGTTGCTAGTTGCTTCCAGAGACCACAAACAGGTTTTTTCATGTTTTTGAGGGACAGAATGTTCATCCCAGTGAGTGTAAGGAAGGAAGCAAGTGCTTTCCTCAGCTTCTAGAACTGAGCATCTAGGAGGTCAGGAGCAGCTGATGGCCACACCTGGTGACATCAAGTGATCTGAGATCTTCCTCTCCAGTGCTCGGCTGTCTTTCTTCCTAGATGACTCCATTCCAGATGATTTCCCTGCCAGGGTAGTTAGAGGGAGACAGCCTCACAGTCCTAAGCCTGGTGGGACAAAAGATCAGCAACCCTTTTTCTAGATAATTCCTAAAATCTCCTGTACTTGGACCAGTTCAGGCATTTCTGAACCAGAGCTGCAGGGGTCAGTGCTCATGAGTGGAATTGGGAGGGCAGGAGAGCCAGATAAAAAGTGAGGACTGTCTCCCAAAGAATAAAAACAGTGGATGGCAGATGTCAGTCAGAGAGGGCATTTCTTCTTCCATCAAATGACTGTATCACTGAGCTCTCTTACCACCAAACATGGCAGTTCAACACGGCCTGTTCTCTTGGATCTCCATCTCTTGCCAAGTAAACAGGGGATAGCTTCTGTTCTACACTGGAAAAGCTCAAGGAAAACAATAATAAGCTGGTTCGGTTGGAGAGCTGGCACAGGAGGTCAGGTATTTGCCTTGCCTGCAGCCAAGCCTGGTTTCATCCCCTGAACCACACATGACCCCTTGAGCATACCCAGGGGTAATTCCTCAGCACAGCCGGGTGTGACCCAAACACACCCTACACACACACATACACACACACACACACACACACACACACACACACTGCCAAAAGCATAGGCAAGAGTGGTTTTTTCAAAAATAAAAGTTTAGTACAAACATTAAATGTTTAGATCAGGTGGGTATTTTCAGCTTGGCAACAGGGACACTTCCAAGGCTCAATAGTTAGGTGTGAACCGTATAAAATTCTCATGCGAGTTTTCCCAAGAGTGATTCAAGAGGCCCGAGTGATAGTACAGAGGGGTAGCATGTAGCACACGGCCACCTGGGGTTGGATCCGCAGCAACCCATATGATCCCCTGAGCACTGCCAGGAGAGATTCCTGAGCATTGTCGGGTGTAACCCAAAAAAGAAAAAAAAAACAGATGATTGAAGTTTTCAGAAAGGAATGTTTATACTAAATCTTGACATCTGTGATATTGCTAAGCTCACAGAATTCCCGCATGTGCTATTGATTGAAAAAAGGCCTTAAAAGACAGTGTAGCCAACCGTGGTTGACCAAGGCTCTCATCCATTCAGGGACTGGCTTATGGATTGCCATAATACTCATGCCAAAAATACTCATGCCCTGTGGATTGTAAACACCTTTGGGTGTTCCTGAGAGGCACTCGAAAATTTCATCTTTCAGTGACATCAACTTCAAGGGTCCCATTTTGTTGTTGTTGTCATCGGTGGTAGGGCATTCCCTTTTTTTCTCTCTGTCTTATTGGGTGCTGTGGTTTGCAAAAGAGGCATTGAGTGGCAATCATGTTCGGTCTATAGTCTACTTTCAGCATGCTTCTCCCATCCTGGGAGAATCCTCCCAACACCCCAATTTTTTTTTAAGAGATGCCTTCTTTGTATTTTAGACACTGATTTTGGAATCTATCTTTATTGAAAGAACAGTGGTTTACAAGTGTTGCGGGTGTGTAAGTTTTAGGGGTTTGATGCTTACCTTTCCTTCCCTCAGCCAGGTGACCCCCCAGAGTTACTTCCTTGGAAGGGTGATGGCTGATCTCTGTTTCATATTGATCTGCATTTGTTTCATCCTGCCGACTTTTGCTTTTCTGACCCTCCCTCCCAAATCATAGAACTTAATTCCTCCAATTTCCTTCTCCACCTACCATCCACACTTGACAGTCATTGCTACTGCATTTTCTCTAAATCACACAAGACCAGAAGAATTTCCCCTAAAACCGTTCCATATTCCTTCCTACTATAAAGAAAGCATTCTAAACGGTGTGGGTTTTGTTTTTGTTTTTTAAGTTTCTTACTCAACCACTTTATCTGCTTCTTCTCACTCACTCTCACCAAATGTTTGATGGCGTGTGAAGGCAGCTGCAAGTATTTATATTCCATCGGAATTTCTCTTTCATTGTATTTACATCTCATTCATTTCTATTTCAGAAAGGGTGCCTGGCGGTAATTACTCTCAAAGGGGGGACAAATTGTTTGATGCGGGGGATGGAAGGAAACATATCTGAGTCTTCAATACTGTGTAGAGAACAGGGAGTGTTTTAGGGGTTGGCTTCTGCTTCTGCTTAAGGCCTTAGGGTTCTTCTTCTCGTTCTGCAGATGGGCTCGTGGACTGCGTGGACCCAGACTGTTGCCTTCAGACGTCCTGTCAGAATCAGCCCTACTGCCGCGGCCTGCCTGACCCTCAGGACATCATCAGTCAGAGCCTCCAGTCTCCTTCTCAGCAAGCTGCCAGATCCTTCTACGATCGCATTAGCTTCCTCATAGGCTCCGACAGCACCCATGTGATCCCTGGAGAAAGCCCTTTCAATAAGAGGTGAATGCACCTCCCTCCTGTGGGTCCAGCTTCATTCAGACTGAGCAAGCGTGAGATGCCCTTGACAGAAATGCTGATGGCCGTTCATTGACACCACGTGCTTCCCTTTCGATGCATGCTTCTCCCTCTTCGGGAGCATTTGTCGCCAAACTTCGCCTTTCAAGCATTTTTGACACAGTTCACCTCCTTTGTCAATTTCAGTACCTGAGACGTTACAGAGCACCCCATTAAGGCCCCAATAAATCTTCATTTAACTAGTTTATTTTTGTTAGCACAGTTGGAAATGTTTCAAAAGAAGCAATGAAAAGACCCCAAAAGGCCAAACTGAAGCACACTTTTTTTTTAAGCTGAGCTCACTAAATAATATAAATTATGAATTAATGTAATGGAACTGCTAACGGCAGGGTAGTAGGATTGCATAAACTGTTGGACTGGTGCTTTTCAGTGCAGTAATGACCTGAAAATAAACCAGTAAGTGAAAACAGGTGTCTTGCATCTCAGTAAGCGAAAGGAGATGATTTATACTAGAACTCTGGAGTCTGTGGTAATTTAACAGCATTAATGCAGTTAGACCCAGGAGCTGATTAAAAGTTGTTGCACAAATGTTCCTTATTGCCCCTTTAAATCTTGTGTTTCTCGGTCCCTACAGATTTACATTTTTTTGCCTTAGAATTAATAGGAAAGTCTACTTTGCTTCATGTTCTCCTCTCCTGAATTATGAAAAAAGCCCAGTGCGTCATTCTTTAAATTCATCCCTCAATTATTGGTCTTGATCACTCTCCAAAAACCAGATGGCCACGAATTAAAACCCTGGGTAAACACCCAGCATTCGGAGAAGGTGAATTAACTAAATGAAAGGACATGTGAGCTATGAGACTAAAAGGGGCCCTATTGTGAGCCACGAGAGATGTGATGGTGTTATTGCAGTCTTGGGTTGAACGGTGGCCGGATTGTGCCATTGGCCTGAGGAAACTGATGTTCATTCGGATTCTTTTGCTTTTCCCACAGCCTTGCCTCAGTCATCAGAGGTCAAGTACTCACTGCGGATGGAACGCCACTCATTGGAGTCAACGTGTCGTTTTTCCATTATCCAGAATATGGTTATACCATCACCCGTCAGGATGGAATGTGAGTTGGCCTCAACCTGCTCTTTGTTTCTAGTATATTTTTGTGGGTTTTTTTTTTTTGGTTCTTGTTTGGTTGGTTTTGAGGCCACACCTGATGGTATGCAGGGCTTACTCCTGCCTCTGCACTCAGGAATTACTTCTGGTGGTGCTCAGGGGACCCTATGGGATGTTGGGGATCAAACTGAGGTAGTCTGCATGCAAGGCAAGCACCCTACCCATTGTATTATATCACTCTGACCTCAGTTTGCGGTATTTTAAGTTTAAGAGTTAGACATTCCTGTATATCACTAGACATGTTCTCTCATACTTTTTTTTTTTAAAAAATGAGGAAAGAGGGTCACCCACTGGCTAATGCTTAGTGGTTACTCCTGGCTCTGCTTACTCCTGGCAGCACTCAGGGACCCTACAGGATGCCGGGAATTGAGCCCAGGTCAGCTGCAGGCAAGGCAAGCGCCCTCTCCACTGTACTGTGGCTCTGACTTCAACCAACTGTACTACCTTTTTTTTTATATAAAACCTGGCAGTTAGGAGACCCTGGAAGTCCTTAACTGTCCGTGCAGAAGAGATTCCAAGTTAATCTCAGCACTTGCAAAAGTAACTTGATTTTTTAATTTTTTTAATTTTTATTTTATTAGTGAAATCACCATGAGGTACGGTTACAGGCTTACAGACTTTCGTGCTTCCGTTTCAGTCATACAATGATCGAGTACCTATCCCTCCATCAGTGCCCATTTCCCACCACCAATGGTCCCAGCATCCCTCCCACTACCCCCACCCCATCCCCTCCACCCTACCCCGCCTCTGTGGCAGGGCATTCCCTTTTGCTCTCTCTCTCTCTCTCTTTTGGGTGTTGTGGTTTGCAATAGAGGTATTAAGTGGCCATCTTGTTTGGTCTATAGTCTACTTTCGGCCTGCATCTCCCATTCTGAGCAGGTCTTCCTAGCACCCTTTACTTGGTGGTCCCTTCTCTGTCTGAGCTGCCTTTTCCCCCAGCATGTGAGGCTGGCTTCTAAGCTATGGAGTGACCCTTCTGGTACTTATCTCTACTATTCTTGGGTGTTAATCTCCCATTCTGAGTAACTTGATCTTCTAAGCTATGCTAGAAGGTTCCTGAACTGTTCTTTGTCTTAGAGGCTCACCGAAATCGTGATGACATTTCATACTCTCACCAATTTCAATTCGAATGATTGTGGGAAAGCAGTTAAAGAGTTTCAGAAGCAGATTCGGAAAAAGATTATTGAATGGGTAAATGTAGGCCAAGGGGCTTGTGGTGTTCCTGGTATTATCCTTTGTGTATTCCGGTAGAGTTAAAGTCATTTCCTATTAAAGCTGAGGAGACAAGTTGATTTTCTTGTTTGATTTTCTTATTTTAAGGAGGTGCGTGGGGGGTGCCCATGAGAGCCAGCTCCATCATTCACTGCCTCTCTCTTGTTTTCTCTTAGGTTTGACCTGGTGGCAAACGGTGGGGCTTCACTCACTCTGGTGTTTGAGCGCTCCCCCTTCCTCACCCAGTACCACACCGTGTGGATTCCCTGGAATGTCTTCTATGTGATGGATACCCTGGTCATGAAGAAAGAGGAGAACGACATTCCCAGCTGCGACCTGAGTGGATTTGTGCGGCCAAATCCCATCATTGTCTCCTCGCCCTTATCTACGTTTTTCAGATCATCTCCTGAAGACAGTCCCATCATTCCTGAAACACAGGTAGAACATCCCGCCAGGTGACGCTGCCACACAAACCATCTACATGCCAGGAGCTCTCCAGAGAGCCTTTCAGAAGGATGGCACAGAAGGCCCGTGTGATCCTCAAGAGTTGCGGGCAGTGAAATGCAGAGGGTGTGGTATTGCCAGAGAAAGGTGGTCTTGCCGGAGAATATCATAGTTTTCTTAGAAATTGCGTCATAGTTCTTTTTCTTCAGGTCCTATTATTATATAATCTTTATAAAGTATAGTCAAAGTGGAAAATATTGAAAATTAGCAGCTCATCATTTCTTTGCTCACTCATTCATTAGACAGTTCCTTCATTTATTCATTTATTAGTGCCTGAATTTATGACACATATTATACCACACACAGTGTTTGGGGCTGGAAAGTTAGTGTCAGAGTTAAGTGGCCAGTGCCAGGCCACTTGCCTTGCATGCAGCCAAACCTGGTTTGATTCTTAGCACCCCATATGGTTTCCCCAGCAGTAATAGGGGTCATTGAGCACCAAAACCAGATATGGATCCCAAAACACAGAACAGAACAAGACAGAACCTTCATTGTTTATCACGAAAGTAGAAAATGTTTTAGTAGCTTAAAATAGAAAATGATCATTAGGGGCCAGGCAGATAGTACATATATAGATTAAGGTAACTTTCTTTGCACATGGCAAACTCTGGTTTGATTCCTGGCACAACATATGGTCCTCTAAGCACCACCAGGAATGATCCCTGAGCATCACCAAGCATGGCTCAAAAAAACAAACAAAAGAAAACGGTGTTCATTTTCTCAAAACATTATCAGAAACCATTAGTATCCTTTCCTAAGCTTTACTTATATACTGTACATATTACCCGGTTCTCCATAAGAAATTATTTAGCCTTTTTTTATTTTATTTTTTTTATTTATTGAATCACTGTGGGAAAGGTTACAAAGCTTTCAGGTTTAAGTCTCGGTCATGCAATCATCAAACACATTTCCCTTCACCAGTACTTATTTTTCACCACCAAGAACCCCAATAAACCCCCACTCCCAACCCTCCCAATGCCTGTGAGGCAGATAAATTCTAGTTAACACTCTATCCACTTTGATTAGATTCATTGTTTCGACAAAAGATGCATCATTATTATTTAGAGTTTACATCCCAAAATCAGACCTGCTGAAAAGGCATTGTGAAATAATTTGTTTTCTACATCTGGTTAAAAGAACCAAATGATGTCGCGTGGCCACTATTGCAGCCACGCAATTTTGGATTTCTGGTAAAGGTAAAAAGGTAAAGGCCCTCCCGTTGATCGTCGATTTGCTCGAGCGGGCCCAGTAACGTCTCCATTGGAGACTTTGTTGTTACTGTGTCTGGCATATCGAATACTCTCGGTAGCTTGCCGGGCTCTCCGAGAGGGTATTTTACTTATTAAGCCTGAAAGTATTTCTGCCAAGTCGAGATAATTATGAGATTGGTTTCTGTGGCTTTGGAGCCATGGCCGTGCCGGAGAGCCGCTCCTGGGGGGCAACTTGTGATCTCGGTAGGGCGTGAAGGACGAGCCGGGAACACCCCCCTTCCCATGAGGTTTCAGTCACCCTGTCACGACCGGCTCATACCTGGCTTTCCAAAAAGCTCCGAGGTGGCCGCCATCTTGCTTTCCAGAGGGTATTTAGCCTTTTTTAAAGTTATCTTATCATTGTTGATTTTATCAGAATACCTGGAACTTCCAATTAAAAGTAACTTTCAGAGGACTGGAGCAATAGTACAACAAGGAGGGCATTTACCTTACATATGGCTGACCTGGGTTTGGTCCCCAGAATCCTGTATGGTCTCCTGAACACCGCTAGTGGTGGTTCCTGAATGCAGAGCCAAGAGTAACCCCTAAGCATTGCTGAGTGTGACACCCCCCCAAAAAAAAAAGCCTAACTTTCACATTTTAAAGGTCGACCTTAGGTCCAATGCAGTGCACTTTGACAAGACCAAAATAGAGTATGTGGTCTTGGGGGCTGGGGAGAGAGTACAGCTGCAAAGCATTCACTCTCTTTGCACACAGTTGACCTGGGTTCAATTCCCGGCACTGCATATGGTCCCTCAAGCCCGCCAGGTGCTATCTCTAAGCACAGAGCCAAGAGTAAAGCTTGATCACTGCCACATGTGGACCTAAACCAGAACAAACCAAAAAAAGAAGATGTGATCTTTAAAATACAATAACACATGGCTTCCTAGAATCCTTGGTTCTGCAAATATTTATTGGCAACCTGTTCTGTACCAGTCACCATCAACAGGATCAAGCAGTAAAGTCCATCCTAGGACAACCCAGCCATCAAGAGGCATTCCCAGTTAACAGGGGAGAGAGAGAGAGAGAGAGAGAGAGAGAGAGAGAGAGAGAGAGAGAGAGAGAGAGAGAGAGAGAGAGATTGAGAGAGAGAGAACCAGTGTATACATCTACATCAGGTTGTACATGGATGTAATTTACTACTAATAATAACAGAGCTGAGGGCTGGAGTGACAGCACAGCGGGTAGGGTGTTTGCCTTGCATGCAACCAACCCAAGGTTCAATTCCCAGCATTCCATATGTTCCTCCAAGCACCGCCAGGAGTAATTCCTGAGTGCAAATCCAGGAGTAATCCCTGTGCATCGCTGGGTGTGACCACCCCCCCCAAAAAAAAGCAAAATAATAATAATAACAGAGCCGAGTGAACTGGATGGGGCTGAGATATTATACAGTGCACTTGAGAAGCTCTCTTTGACAAAATGATATTTTAGGAGAAAGTATAAGACGGAGCCAGAGAAATCGTGCAGGCATTAAGGTGCAGGGCTTGCACGTGACTCACTGCAGCTCAGTCTCCTGAACTACAGGGTCCTCTCACCCCAGCACCACAAGGAGCCACTCCCAAGCACAGAGCCAGCCACGAGGAGCCCCTGAGAGGGGCTTGTGGCTAGGGTGACCCAGATGACCCTCGGCTCTGCAGGGCCCAAGCAGCATCATTCCCATGAGTGCTGGCTCTGAACTTCTAGCCTAGTTAGCTGAGAAACTCCTGAGCAGTGCTTGGGAGACCCAAAAAAGGAGAGTGAAAATAAACCCTAGAAAGAAAAGGGCCTTCTGGACAGAAACAAGAGCAAGTTTATTTTGGTTGTTCGGTTTTGGGAGGACCAAGGGGGCCACACCCGGCAATGCTCAGGTTCCTCCTAGCTCTGCACTCAGGAATTACTCCTGGTGGTGCTCAGGGGACCAATATGAGATGCCGGGGATCAAACCCAGGTCAGCTGCATGCAAGGCAAACACTTTACCGCTGTACTAACTATCCAGCCCTGCCAGGAGCAAGTTTAGAAGCTCTCAGGCACCCCCCCCCCCAAAAAGCCCCTCCTTGACTTAGTCAGGGACAACCCAGGAGACCATAGATGAGCTCAATTGAATTCGAGGAGACGGTCTATAGAGTCGGGTGATTTGCTGTGTCCAGAATAGGGCTCCGGAAACTTCCGCTGGCAGAAACCAGCGTGATGTCCTGTCTCCCATCTGCCTTTACTGTCCCCATAACACTCAGTCACAGGGCTGCATGAGTCAGTGAACTAAATTACAAATATTTGTTCCATGGAACAATGACAAAGACCATCTCCGGTTATTAAAATTAAGAAGGACCCATGATATTTTGGAATAAAGTAGCCATTCCTATTTTTAAAACAAAACAAAAGCACTTCCTAAAAGGTCCCGGAAAAATTGGATTAAATTTGAACTCTAGCTTTCGTGTAGCGAGCACGTTTGTGAGATTATTTTGAAAATGAGAAGGAATAAGCTATAAACTTTAGAGTTCAATCGCTTATCTTTTGAGGACCATTCAGGAGACTCCAGATCTTATTTTCCCCTTTACCAGGGGCGGACAAACAGCATCCAGCTCTGGGCAGGAGTGATAATACAACAGGGAGGACGTTTGCCTTGCACATGGCAGGTTCGGGTTCGATTCCCAGCATCCCATCTGGTCCCCTGAGCACCGCCAAGAGTAATTCCTGAGTGCAGAGCCAGAAGTAACCCCAGAGCATCACTGGGTGTGACCCAAAAAGCCAAAAAATAAGAAAATAAATATTTAAAAGCATACTTATTCACCATGTCCCTGCAGCCCACAGAAACTTTGCTCTTTTCACACGGGATGGTTTGCCCAAGTAAAACAGAGGTCCAGAAAGCGTCCATGAGTCAAAAGCTGTTTTCCTCGGGGACAGTCTCTGACTGAGCTTAGTTGATGTATTTTGCAAGGAAAATCCCCAGCAGCCCTCCTCTGGCTTATGCTACCACGTCCCAGGCTAGGCAGAGGCTGCTTTAGTCCCCAGCTGGTGGGACTGATTCCAAGGAAACTGACAGCTCCACACCCAAAACCAGGGGTGCGACGTAATGATTAAAATCTTGGGATGACAGATAACACTCTTCCCAGCTGTTAAATTCGGCAGCTGCGGCAGGAAGTGAGGTGGTAAGCATGACACATCTCTGTTCCGAGGTGTTTGTCTTGAGGAAGACAGTTCTCTGTCTCTAATGAGTCTCCAGAGGACCCTCCGAGGAAGCCTCTGAAAACGAAGTTTCGCTCTTAGGAGAATTAAGTGGTGACTCCTGGCCACATTGCTTTGGTTGGAGTCCCATGGCATGGTACCATTATGTAGCTTCAGCTTTCAGGTGTACGTTTCAGAAGGAAGAGCTCATGCTTTGCATGCAGAAGACCCAGGTACAACCTCAGCACCTCATGGCTCCCCGAGCACCGGTGCGAGTAAATCCTGAGCTAGGAGTAGCCCCTGAGCACTGCCAAGTGTAACCCCAAAATAACCTAGGACAAACCAACCGGCCTCCTGGTAGGGCCTTTCCCTTAGTACTGCCATCTGTTGGCCTTATTGTCTAAAACCCATTTCTGTTTTGAGTTTCACCTATTTTATTTTTTCTCCCTCTAACGGATGTAAAATCAGACACTATCTTTCTCTGTCAAGGGGCCCAGGTTATTATGCATTTTACAATACACAGGGTGAACCTGTAAAAAACTATCAATACTATTGGTTAAACTTGGCTGAGAAAGATTTATACGCCATGTGAGATCTAGTTTGCAAATTATGCATGGACATAACATTTCTTTGGTCAGTGTTTATTGGTGTCATTGAGCCAGCCACGTTCCTGCCTACCACGTGTTGTTGAGAATACAGTTTGAATATTGTAAAAAAAAAAAAAGACTCTCTCCTAGGAAGGTCATTGTATCAACTTTCCACAGTCCGGCTTTAGCTCAAAAAAAGTATATAGCGAGTGCATTCAATGATACTGGAGTTGCCGTGTGGGGTAAAATATTTGCACAGCTCCAAAGTATGAGGCCATTAAGAGGAATAAAAAAGAAAGAGAAAGAGAGAAAGAAGAAAAATGCCATAGAGGCAGGCTTTAGGGGAGGTATGGTGGGAAGGGCAGGAAGGAAATCAGAACATTGGTGGTAGGAAACATACGCTGGTGAAGGGACAGGTGTTGGAACATTGTGTGACTGAAACTCAATCATGAAAACTTTGTAACTGTGTATGTCATGGTGATTCAGTTTATAAAAAGGTTTTAACAGAAGAATAATAAAATATGAGGCCACTGGCCAACAGATCAAAAGCCAGGGATGAGATCTAGCTCAAACTCAAGTGCATATGTGAATGGACTGTCATATCCTTTCCTGGGGTTTTGTTTGGGGTCCATACCTGCAGTGCTCGAGGCTTACTCCTAGCTCTGCACTCGGAGATTGCTCCTGGTGGGATTCAGGGGACCCTTTGCGGTGGGAGGAATGGAATCCAGGTGAACCGTGTGCGAGGTGAGCTCTTTCACTGCTGTACGGTCTCTCCAGCCAATTGCGTTCCTTCTCAGCTTGGATACGGAATGTGCCATCCCCCATTATCTCTTCGGCCTTTCCAGCCTGTGAACCGTCAGCTGCAAGTCAGCTGTCGCCCTCAGTTGAATCGCTCAGGGAACCAGCTGGCCAGGGCCAGGTTTTTGGCTTCGGTTACATCCCCGTCTTGCAGGAACCATCTTACAAATGTCTTGCACCAATTCTCCAGGGCTAGCAGGGGTGAAAGGGGTTAGTGAGGGCTCATGGCAGCTGGAAAGGAATACACCAGATCACATCAGGCTGACAGGGCAGGGTTAGAGGCAATGCAGAGATCTGAGGAGCTCAGAATACATGGCCAGAGGCTTTTCCATGAGGAAAACAGGAAAGGGGGGCTGGCCGTGTATTTTGGATTATGGAATTAAGGTAATAGTTTACATGCATAGGCGTTACTGGCGACTCCCAGTTTTCATGTTCAGATTGTCTCTGTGGGTCTCCAGAAACAATGTTACTTTGACTGCACAGTTTGAAGTCATCTGCCTTGTCCCACGTAGGTGCTGCATGAGGAAACCACCATTCCAGGAACAGATCTGAAACTTTCCTACCTGAGTTCCAGAGCTGCGGGCTATAAATCAGTGCTTAAGATCACAATGACCCAAGCCGTCATCCCCTTCAACTTGATGAAGGTGCATCTGATGGTGGCAGTGGTGGGAAGACTCTTCCAGAAGTGGTTTCCCGCCTCACCAAACCTGGCCTACACGTTCATATGGGATAAAACTGACGCCTACAACCAGAAGGTCTATGGGCTGTCAGAAGCTGTTGGTAAGTTCTATAGAGATTTTCTGCATTTGGGCAAAATGGTGTTGAGGTTAGATCTAATATGAAAGTTATGAGAGGGACTGGAGCGATAGCACAGCAGGTAGGGTGTTTGCCTTGCAGGGGACCAACCCAGGTTCAATTCCCAGCATCCCATATGGTCCCCTGAGCACCGCCAGGGGTAATTCCTGAGTGCGTGAGCCAGGAGTAATCTCTGTGCATTGACAGGTGTGATCCAAAAAGAAAAAAAAAAGAAAAGAAAAGAAAAAAGAAAGTTATGGGAGTCCGTGAAATTGGTGGTTGAAGAGTAAAAGAGAAATTTTATTTTTAAAATTATCGTTTAATTATATTATTTAATTATATAAACAGATATGTATATCTAGGTTGCTTGACCTTGATCATGGGAGAAAGGAATGCGCTATCGGAAAAGGAGAAAATCCTAATTTTTCTGGCAGAAATCATACCTAGACCAGTATTTTCAAAGAGCTTGCCGATCATCAGGCTTCTCCTTTTCCAGACTTTACCCTTTTATATTCCTTCCTTCATCCCTTTGCCTCTCTAGTTTTTCTTATTTCTTCTTAGGTTTTCTCTACATATGAAATGAGAGATACTTCATAAGATATCAGACAGAGTTTGTGTCCAAAATGTTCTCGGTTTTGTTCTGGCTTTTTTCTTTCTTTTTTTTTTTTTTTAGTAGAAACAAACCAGTCACTGAACTGGAATAATATTCGGGGGTGGGGGGAATGTTCCTTTTATTTTTCTATTGTGGTCACATCAGTTATAAGACTGTGAATGTTTATAAATTGGGAGCTGAAGAGATAGTACAGCAGTACAGCAGACCCAGGTACGATCCTCAGCATCACTTAGGGTCCCCCAAAGCCCCGCCAAGAATGATCCCTGAGTGCAGAGACAGGAGTAAGCCCTGAGAACTGCTGGTCTGACCCCCAAACCAAAGCAAATAATAAGTGATGTGGCTGTGGGGATGCAGGGGACACCTCCAAGGACCAACACCCCTCTACCACAGTCATTTTCAGCCCCTCCTCTCCCCACACCCCACCCCAGCGAGGTGACCTCAGGTCTGTCATCAGAGTCTTGAAGTTTGTTTGCATTCAAATATAGGAGAATATTCTTAGAGCATTAAGCAGATTAGACATTCCACTGAATGACAGGACGAGGTAATGTGACAAGGTGATCAGATATGTGAAATATATCTAATCCGGCTGGTCTTGGGCTAGCGGTTCTAAAACCAAAGGCTAATGTGGTTCATGTAAGAGACCTGAAATTAATAGGACTTGTGTGAGGAAAAGTGAGCACAGCTTTCATGCCCTCCCAGGCATGCCGGATGTGAGGAAAGTGTTTCGGGGTTGCCTTGGTACATGTTCAGTGGCCAAGAGCCGCCGCCTCTCAGATCTCCCAAGCAGAGGAATGAAGAGACAGGGGCCACACTGAAAACAAAGTGGCCCATTTATTTTCCAAACCAAATAGCCCATTATAGAGAATCTGAGGGGTCTGAGGTACAGAACTGCACAGAGGTGGGTGTGATTGATGATGTATAGTGGTAAAGCATTTCAACGGAGGCAAATCTTTTGGGGTGATTCATTCAAGGAGATGCTCAGTCTGAGACTGTACTGAGACATTTAGCTCAGGGATCACAAGCTTCTATGTTGCTTTTCTCTTTCCCTTGCTGCTAGTCTGTATTAGGCAATTACGTTACTTCTTACTCATATTTGCAGTTACTTGGATAAACACAGTAAGAGATACAGATTGCAAAACTTAGTTCTCTTCTTAGTTAAAAGTAACCAGACCTGATGTGGGGCATCTAGTGGTAACAGAAGGAGAGGTAAAACACAAAGGAAAGGTTAAAGATAAACTCAGGGGATTAGGGGCACTCATAAGAGTGCTGTAAGCTGGAGGGCGGAGGGAAAGGGGGGAATTCACTGATGAAGCCTCGAGCACTTGGGGTTAATATCCATCATATTTGATTTCATTAAAATCAGATTATTGTTTCCTTATTTCTTATTCCCTCCTTTGTTTTAAGAGTGTAGTTCCCTCTTTTGTTGCAAAACTCAAAATTTTTGTTGGCTATTTATTCAGATTGATTTACTGGTTGTTTCATTATTTCTTCCTGAAACCTGTGAATATAATGTGAACACCTAAATGTGTTTTTTTCTATGTTGATTTCTTTAATGTATTTTGGATATATTTTTATAGATACTCCTAGAGGGTCTACCTCAATTTTTTTATGTATAGTATTTTTTATTTGAGAAGTCTCACAATGGAGACGTTACTGGGCCCGCATCGAGCAAATCAATGAAAAACGGGAGGACAGTGTCTACCTCATTTTTAAATGTATAGTATTTTTTATTTATTTCTATCAAAAAAGCAATATTTAACTTAATATTTACTCTATCAATTCTTAAGTCTTTTATCACAAGTCTTTTCCAAAACTCAAAATTTTAGAAATTATGATCTTTCATTTGACCCAGCTATAGCACTCCTGGGAATATATCCCAGAGAGGCAAAAAGGTATAGTCGAAGTGACATCTGCAATTGTTTGTTCATTGCAGCACTCTTTATGATAGCCAGAATCTAGAAAAAACCTGAGTGTCCGAGAACAGATGACTGGTTAAAGAAACTTTGGTACATTTACACAATGGAGTACTATGTAGCTGTTAGAAAAGATGAAGTCATGAAATTTACATACAAGTGGTACTACATTGGAAAGTATCATGTTAAGCGAAATGAGTCAGAAAGAGCGGGATAGACACAGAAAGATTGCATTCATCTGGGGAACATAAAGCAACAAAACGGGAGACTAACACCCAGAAATGGCTGAGATTAGTACCAGGAATTTTGCTCCATGACTTAAAGGCCAGCCACATGTGCTAGGTGAAAAGGAAGCTCAGATAGAGAAGAGAGCACCAAATAAAGGGTGTTGTGAGGACCCTCCCAGGGTGGGAGAGACATGCTAAAAGTAGTCTATAGACCAAACATGATTGCCACTCAATGCCTCTCTTGCAAAACACAGTACCCAAAAGAAGAGAGAGAGAACAAGGGGGAATGCCCTGCCACAGAGGCAGGGTGGGATGGGGGGAGTGGGAGGTGGGAGGGATGCTGGGACCCGTGGTGGGGGAGGATGGGCACTGGTGGAGGGATGGGTACTTGATCATTGTATAACTGAAACGCAAGCACAAAAATTTATAAGTATATAACTGTACCTCATGGTGTTTCACTAATAAAAAAATGATAAAAAAAATTTAGAAATTAAATGAATCTGGTGATTTAGGTAGCAATCATCATTTTTGACTGTGTAATCATTATTTTGGGGTTAATTTATCTGGTCATTTGCCCAGTCGTTCACTGTGGGCTGGCCTTTTAGTTTTGAATCCCTTATGAAAGAATTATACCATGAATGGATATAGTGGTTTTTCATGGAATCAGTAGAAAAATAATTCTTAGAGATCTATTTTTAGAAAAAAAATAGATCAAATCTCATACAAAAATATAAATAACTCTGCTCCTGTGTAAGTAGAAGGTTCGTAGAAGGTCTGAACACAAAGGGGATGTGAGGCTAGAGAAACAGTTTATCCCAAAATAAATGATGGATGGAAGATGACTGTGATGTGTGTTTGTTCCAGTGTCTGTGGGGTACGAGTATGAGTCGTGCCTGGACCTGACTCTCTGGGAGAAGAGAACCGCCATCCTGCAGGGCTACGAGCTGGACGCATCCAACATGGGCGGCTGGACGCTAGACAAGCACCACGTGTTGGATGTTCAGAACGGTAAGATCTGTTGGCGATGAATGTGGCTCTTCTTCACCTCAAGTTGCAGCTCTGTTGGACCTTCTGCCTGCTGGAGGGTTTGGGATGGTAGGGGGGAAAATAGATGTTTTAAAGACTGTGCCAGCCTCAAGTGGGAAGTACAGGATGCTCTTCTCACAAACTTGTCAATTGTTGTTGGACTGATCGCCAGAATCATTTTCTCAATAGAAGTGAGTGACTGGAGGCCGGAGAGGTAGTACAGTGGATAGGGCATTTACCTTGCATGCAGCTGACCAGGGTTCGATCTCTGATATCCCTTATGGTCCTCTGAGCATTGTCAGGAGTGATCCCTGAGCACAGATCTAGGAGTAAGCCCTGAGCACTGCTGGGTTGACCTAAAAACTGGAAGGAAGGAAGGAAGGAAGGAAGGAAGGAAGGAAGGAAGGAAGGAAGGAAGGAAGGAAGGAAGGAAGGAGAGGGAGAAAGGGAGGGAGAGAGGGAAGGAAAGAGGAAAGGGAAAGGGAAGAGGAAGAGGTACAATTTTTCCTAGAGAAAAGGAGAAATAAACTCATGTCACTTTACCAGATATTTCCAATAGATCTTAATCCTTAGGTCATTATTTTGAGCCTATGATATTTTTCCATTTTTTATAGACAAGATTTGATAAATTATTATTCTCCCATTCAAATTATATATTCCATTATTGGGGTTTGAGAATATTAGGGAGAAGGTAAATGAATATTCTGAAGAAAAAGCCACAATCAAGATTATATTATTGTGGGGCTGGAGTGATAGTACAGCGGGTAGGGCATTTGCGGTGCACATGGCCAACCCTGGTTCGATTCCCAGCATCCCATATGGTCCCGTGAGCACTTCCAGGGGTAATTCCTGAGTGCAAAGCCAGGAGTAACCCGTGTCTATTGCCAGGTGTAACCTCCCCAAAAAAAGATTATATTATTGTGTAGATATTATAATTAAATACACTTGGAACAAACATACAGCCCATATCACACACCAAAATAGGTCATTACTTGCAAAGTGTGGCCGGTTTTATCTCATAAAGTAGTTCGTGTTTTTAGACAGCGTCTATTGTCTTCATCTTCACTACCTTCCTTTTTTTATATTTTATTTTCATAAAAGTAGTTCACAACAGTTCATTACAGATAATATTCAAACAACAGTCCCACTTCACTGCTTTTCTAATGTTTTGCCCATTCACTCTCAGATCATTGAAAGATATTTTGTTATAAAAGCAGAACCCAGACCTGGAGAGCTAGTACAGGGGTTAAGGCCCTAGTTCAGTCCCAGTGCCACAAATGGTTCCCCAAGCACCACCACAGGGCTCACTCCTGAGCACCGAAGAAAGCGTACCCCCAGTCTCAACTGGTGAAACCCAACTGCCTCCCCTCCAAAGAAACCCAGTACAGCCCCGCACCCCTTTCCTGTCATACGGCAGATGAAGCTCCATTCCTTCCCCAGTATGGCCTGAACCCCAGGCTGTAGTGCATTGCACATTTCCAGAAGGCTGAAGCAGTGCCAGGCACGTGGGCAGAATGGGACCCCCACCCCAGAATGACACGCCATGTGCTGAGTGTGACCATCAGCAGACTCAGTGATGGGGTCAGTTTCAGAGTGTGATGTGAATCGCACAAGGCTCATTCGTGGTCTTTAAAAATGCACAGCCACATGCCAACCTGGCTAATAGCTGCTCTTGATGAAATCACTTAATATTCTGCCTCACAGAGTTGGACATGTTTCTCCATGCCTTCAGACATACTTCACCAAGAAAGGAGAAACTCTCGAGATACATTTTAGTTATCATGAGGCTATAAGGTAAAATTCAGAACCCGTTAACCCCAAGAATTTCACCCAAGAGATGGTGAAGAGCAAAGATTGCAAGCGAAGAGCTTTAGGAAAACCCAGTCCTCAGTCATAACCCAACACTTGTGTAGTATTCAAGGGAATTAAAAATTTGTGGCTATTCTGTGGCTATGCATATACCAAACAGAGAGAGAGAGAGAGAGAGCGCACACAATACAGAATTTGTTTTTATTATCAGTTTGAAAATAAAAACTGGAATACCCCAAATTTTGCCCTCTAAAAAAATGGTAGAAATCATACAATAGCTGTGCATTCCTCCATATCAGGTGACCTAATTCAGAGCTGAACTGATTGTGGTTTCAAATTGTACCCAGAAACAGTTTGACAGTTCGAGGCTTCTCAAAGTGACAGGCGTCTAATTGAATAAACAAAGTGATTTGTAATCATGACAAGGTGGATGAGGTAGGAAAACAGATTCTGGGAGAAGAGAAGAAAACATGTAGACATTGACAGGTGCCTATGTGGGCATCGTGAAACATGGAAATAAGTATTCTAATGTTCATCTTTCTATTCTGTCAGAGTAGAGGAGAATGATGAAGGACCAGTCGCTCAAAGTAATGACTGAATAAATCAGGTGTGGGAGTAGGGTAGGCTGACTCGGAGGATGTTTGTGATGAAAATCCTAAAACTGGCTCTTATGGAAATTATGGTTCCATTATGGCCAAATAATGTCATCAATGAAATAAAGACTCTCACGTAAATGTCTTCTTTGAATATTCCAGCAAAATTCATTTCATCTATTCTTAAGAGCCAACCTTTTCGAGATTATTTCTTATTTAAGTAAGCCTGATTTCTTTATGTAAATTTGCTGCGATAATTACATCACTCCAATAGCAAAGCTTTCAAAACCTGATTACAGAATCCACCTCAACTATGTTCTAAACTATGTCAATTGTGTCTACAATGCACTGAGCAATGTCCATCATCACTAAGTGTACCTGAGGGGGACATAATTATTCTGATCTCCTCTTCACTTTAAAATTATCCCAAAGTAAAAGGAAAAATAATCACTCTCTCGGGCTCTCTATTTGTACTTCAAGGGATTTTTTTCCTTTAGTACTGTATCTGCTAAACATATAACATAGGCTTAAAGAGCTGATTGGAAGTAGAAAATGTCCAATGAACATTATATATGCAGTTCTAAAAGGCAAAGCAACAGACGTGGGTTTTTTGTTTGTTTCTTTGTTTTTGGTTTGTTTGCAGGGCACACCCAGCTGTGCTCAGGGCTTACTGCTGGCTCTGTGCTCAGGAAACACTCCAGGGATCATATGGGGTGCTGGGGATTGAACCTGTGTCAGCCACCTGCAAGGCAAGCATCCTGCCATTACTGATAGAGTCAGTAACGAATGATCATATCCTCTGCTGATGTAACCTTTCCTCAAAGGAAAACAGTGACCTCCATTTAACGATCACTTCTGTGTAACAATGAAAAATTAAGAAATTAGAATCTCAAATCTACTTTCCAATGTTGGTGCTCATTATTCATTAATTATTATTTAAAATTGATCACTTAATCACTTGACATCCCGTTACTCGTCAATTTGTTCAAGTGGGCACCAGTAACATCTCCATTCATTCCTGTCGCATACTAGTGTAGCCCAATAGCATCTGCTCTCTCCAGGAACACAAAGAGCCTCAAACCGATCGTTCAGAGTCTTGACAAAGAAGTCTGACCATCTCGTAGGTGGGTGGCCACTCAATCTTTTGACATCTCGTGGAATCCAGTTGGTAATGGCTCCAGTTCAGTGGTCATCTCCAAATCGCATTATTGTCCACCCCATCTGATTTTCGACGCCTTGGCAAATGAGATAGCATCCCTGATTGTTGATTGTCGAGAGAGGTCAGAGCTCCAATTCTTTCTCTCACTTGAGTGAAGCATGATACTCCAAGCATAGCTCTTTTGATTCCTCTTTGGAAATCAAAATTATTTACTATTGTCAATTTATTATTCATTATTCTCAGAATTTTTTTCTAAGATTCTCATCGAAGACCATAGTGAAGGCACACTAACTAGCATCTTTCTTCTTAAAACTATTGGCACTTTGTTGCCTCAAAGCAGAATTCACTTTAAGAAATTGTCCCTCCACAACAGTTTGGTTTCGCTGGAAGTTTTGTGTGTATTCATAGATCATACAGAATAATAAGCAAATATGTTAGTTTTGGTGCCAGAGCAATAATGCAGTGGGGAGGGCACTGCCTTGCATGTGGCCCACCCGGGTTCGATCCCCAGCATCCCATATGATTCCCTGAGCCCCACCAAGATTGATCCCTGAACACAGAGCCAGGAGTAATCCCTGAGCACTACCAGGTATGCCCCCCCTCCTAAATATAATACTATTCTTCAGGGACTGGAGAGATAGTACAGTGGGTAGTATTCTTACCTTGCTCATAGTTTACCTGAGTTCAATCCCCAGGCCCCCAAACCCTACTAGGCATGACCTCTGAGCCAGGAGTAAGTCCTTAGAACTGCTGGATGTGACTCAGAAACAAACAAAAAGAGATTATTAGCAGGAGAGCGACAGCACAGTGGGCAGGGTGTTTGCCTTGCATGTGGCCAACCTGGGTTCGATTCCTCCGTCCCTCTCGGAGATCCCGGCAAACTATCAAGAGTATCCCTTCTGCACGGCAAAGCCTGGCAAGCTCCCCGTGGCGAATTCGATATGCCAAAACCAGTAACAAGTCTCACAGTGGAAACTTGACAACGGTTACTGGAGCCTGCTTGAGCAAATCGATGAACAATGGGAGGACAGTACTACAGTGCTACAGTGCTTCAGCAGGAGAGTAACATGTTGGAGATTTTTCCTTTTCCTAACTTTGTCTTCTGTAGTTATTTTTTTAACTCTTTTTTAAGAATCAAAGATAAACTAATCAGAAATTCATCTTTCTGGTACTCATGTTTATTAATTTACTTCTTGGCATCTTTCCAGCATCACTTGATTATTAGGCAAGCTTGTGATTCCCTGACAGACTTTCTATAGACCATGGTTCTCAGCATTGGTCTAGAGCATCTGGAGCGTTTTTTAGAATCTCAACGCCAAGATCACATTCCAGATTTCAATCAAACCTTTCAAAAGAGATCAAGACAGAGGATTTTCTACAGTCCCTAATTGGTGCCCATGTCTAACCAGGTTTCAGAGACTGTGATGTGGAGAATTGAGGGTTTTGATTTTTCTCGTTGACTCTTTATTCCCTTCACAGGTCTTTAAATCTGGAACAGACAACATTCCTAACATTCCCCGTATAGCTTTTGTCTTTTCTCACAGGAGACTTGACCTAAGGTCATTGAAGTGTTTCTTTTTTTCTGATAGAACTTTTGAAAAATCATTTTTCTAGTCTATAGCTAAACGGTTCCAAACTGTTAGTTTGGTGGCTAGCATGCTTTCTTTTTCCCTCTGTTTTTTTAACCACAAGACAAACGCACTTTGCTTCTTCCAGGTATACTCTACAAGGGAAATGGGGAAAATCAGTTTATCTCCCAGCAGCCGCCGGTGGTCAGTAGTATCATGGGCAACGGCCGGAGACGCAGCATCTCATGTCCGAGTTGCAATGGGCAGGCCGACGGGAACAAGCTCTTGGCTCCCGTGGCACTGGCTTGTGGGATCGATGGCAGTCTCTATGTTGGGGACTTCAACTACGTTCGCCGGATATTCCCATCTGGAAATGTGACAAGCGTCTTAGAACTAAGGTAGGTCTTCCCTTTACTTGGGATTGTCAGCAGAGTATCACATGCCTTATCTTTGGAAGTGTTGAAAGCCAATGTACTAACCTATCCCAGGCCTTTCCAAAGTTGACATTCGCCCAAGGGAGAAGTTAGATTCTTGTTGGATGTCATAAAACCGTAGCATATGCATATTGTGTAGTGAAGGTAGAAATGACTCTAGAGCTGCCCTGTATTTAAAGTATCTCACTGATACCGATGAATTCTCTCTTCCAACGAATAGAACCAATGAATATTTTAAATCTTTTTGGTTGTCTTTAAAATCACCCTGTGATAGATATTGTTACTTGTAGTTCACAGTGTTTGACATTAAGGCATAAAATACATTCTTGCAATGTCAGAACATAAAAGTTAGCCAATTAAGGCTATAAATCTCAACAAGAATATTAAATCTTCAGTTGGGGTTAACCCATTAACCATAATGCCAGTTGTTAAGGTAACAAATTGTTATTGTCTTTGCTTTGCTCCAACACACCCTATTAGATAGATTAGTTTGTTAAGTCGTGGCCTATGAATTTCATTTCCAGTGTTATTTCTACTTAAGTGGCAATTTTCCTTACAAATAATTAAAATCTCAGCGTTCGACTCATTATATTTTCAAAACCTTTTCTAACTATGCTCTCTTTCTCACCTTTTTTTATCTGCTTCCACCAAGAAATAAAGATTTTAGACATAGGTAAGCACCATGCTTCAAGGTTACTCAGTATTTTCAAATGTCCTTTTTACATTCCAATGTGACTCTTTGACATTGTCTTCTGAGAACATTTCATCGTGAAAGAGGAAACAGTATCACAGGACTTAAAACTGCTTCAACGAGCTGGATTGTTTATAAATAGATTGCAAATTATATTATGCTACATAATTTGAAAAATATTTCCTGAATTGATTAATAAAGTGTGTTACAGAAAATTATTATACATTTCTGTACAGCAAACAAAACTATTTCTAAATTTTAGTTACAGATTTATAATTTAAGCCATATTGGACAAAAACAAATTTAAAACACCATAGCCAAGTCTTGTAAGATTTTAGCTTGGCACATAGCCAGGACATGTCCTGATTTATTGGGTCCAAAGCTGATGGGGGGGGGGGGGGGTGGAGTGTTTTTCCAGAATTGAATTAAAGGTGCTTTACATTGGCAAATTTTTAAAAACAAGACATTTCATAACCCTGTTGCCAGGGTCTTCTCCATGGACTTGGAAAGAATGTTTTCAAGTGAAGGCCCCTGGAACTGATATTTCTTCCATTCCTGGTGACCTCATTGCTGCTTGTAGTGTTTTACTGATTGGAGGGAGTAGATCTGAGTTTTAAGCAATAGTGTTTTCGCTGACATATTACAGGGGAAGGGACGTTATTCAGAGCTGAAGAAGACTGCTTGAGGCCCATAGATAAGCCCCAGAGTTGTTCCTAGCTGCCTGGGGTTATGACTTAGTTGTGGAGTGCCTGTGTGTGTAAGTCCAGGGTTGTACACACACACACACACACACACACACACAAGCACACACACACACGACTTATTTGTGTTCTACTTCCTGTTAGCTGGACCAGGGGCAGTCTAAGCTTGTATATGGGCACGTTTTATCTGAAACAACTTTTCAGGAGTCAAAGAGCGTTGGGGCCACAGCATTAAACATTAACCAGCAGGGCTAGAGAGAAAGTATAGTAGGTAAGCCGCTGCCTTGCACGTAGCCAACCCAGGTTCGATCCCTGGCATCCATACAGTCCCATGGGCACCCCCAGGATGCTGAAGTGCAGAGCGAGGAGTATACCCTGAGCACAGCCAGGTGTGGCCCAAAACCAAAAACAAACAAAAATTAACCAACAAAGGGGCTGGAGAGATAGTGAAATGGTGAAGGTACGTGCCTTACATGTAGCTGACCCAGGTTGGATCTCCAGAACCCTATAAGTCCCCCGAGCTTCACCAGAAGTAAGCCCTAAGCACCACCAGTTATGGCCCAAAAGCAAAACAAAATAGACCAGCAAGAAACAACGCACAGTGGACAGGCTGGATCTTAGAGCTCTCGACGTTAGCCAGTGCAATAATAGCTCCTAAGGTTTGGGATGGGAATAATCACTCTACATTATGTGATATGCTTACCATAAGCAGGTTCACATAGCCCACAGAGACTGTTGTCTAGGCAGTAGTTTCCAGCCTCCGCACACCTGCAGACCAGCAGTTGGAAAACTCTGGTCTAGAGACTGACCACAATGAGGTAAAAGGCAGGATTCTACAGAGGGATGGATAGTGGTCGCCTGTCTGCATGACAGGGCCTGGGACTGCGACCTTTTCCTGAGATTCTATATTCCCAGTTCACAACTCAGTCTCACACTGAGACCAGGCCAGGGAGATAGTGAAGTGGTTAAGGAAGTGGTCTTGCAAGGGGCTAGTCAGTTTGATCCCCTGCAAAGAGTGATCCCTGAGTGAAAACCTGGAGTAAGCCCTGAGCATCACCAGGTGTGGCCCCAAACCAAAACCAAAGAGACTAAAACTGAATTTCTCCCCTTGCTCAGCAGGCAGAGCTTAGCCATGGGTGTTGACAGCAAAACGGCTTTGTCTGGCCCTGCATTGTGGGTCCCTATGTGCAGAAGAGGGTATCCACACTTGCAGTCCTTTAGAGCTACAAGGGTGCCGGGGGGGGGGGGGGGGGGTGGTCACTGAGCTCAAGGAGAGGTTGAGTTTTCCCTCACATACTGGAGCGATAGCACAGCAGGTAGGGCGTTTGCCTTGCACGCAGCCAACATGGCCGACCCGAGTTCGATTCCTCCGCCCCCCTCGGAGAGCCCGGCAAGCTACCGAGAGTATCTCGCCCGCATGGCAGAGCCTGGCAAGCTCTCCGTGACGTATTCGATATGCCAGACACAGTAACAACAAAGTCTCCAATGGAGACGTTACTGGGCCCGCTCGAGCAAATCGACGAACAACGGGAGGGCCTACCTACATAACAAAGGATGAGGATCAGAAAACCCACCTTTTCTTGAAATGGTTCTTTCCACCACACCACACAGCCAATTAAAAATATGTCCAACTGGCTTCGTTTCCAGGGAGTAATTCTACAAGCTTGCAGCAAGCTAGATTTATTCCACAATCATTTGACAAATGACTCAGAGCCAGGATCACTTTCTCTGGAGCAAAACGCATCGATGAGGTTAGAGAAGATGATTATGGGCAGGACTTTCTGCTCTGACCCACCATCGCTAGCGTACAGCGCCCCTGTTGATACTTTCTGTAGTTCCTCTCTCACGATCCTCCTTCACCTTTCCCCCCATACTCTCTCCTGGACTAACCTCGGGTTCCACTTCATATGCTGTATGGACCATGCTTGTCAATTAGGGCTGGGTGGGGCATCGGTCCATAGTCATCTTTGTTAAATCGATGCCAACTGATATCCCTTATCACACGTTGGAGCCTTGGACAAATAGTAGAATAAGACAAAGAACGTGCTCTTCAAGCTCAGCGGGTGGTGGAGGCAACGGTCTCTGTAACTGCAGTGCATGATCAGTATTGCTCCTTGATACTTCCTCATAGCTTCCCACTGCTGCTCAAGTCCAAGTCCTAGGGAAGAGGGGGTTACTAGGACATGGATATATGGGAAGGGGAAGGATTGGCATTGGGCCTCAGCCTCTCAGGGAAGTCTGTTGAGACAGAAAAAGAGGCAAGGAAGGATCGGAGAGATAGTACATCAGGTAGGACATTTGCCTTGCATGTGGCTGCCCTGGGTTCCATCCCCAGCATCCCACAGGGTTCCCCAACCACCCTCCATGAGTGACCCCTGAGCACAGAGCCGGGTGTAAACTCTCAGCACCACCAGGTGTGGCCCCAAAAAAGGAAGAAAGAAGAGGGTCACCTCAAAGCAATGAAGTGAACAAATGAAGTGATGGGACTCTTGAGAGATAAGCAGGATAAGTCCCTCTGCAAGGGCAGCACTGCCCTACCCATGGTGAGGAGAAAGGCAGGCAGGAAGGTTAGGTTGGATGACTCAGGGCATGAGAGTTAGGGTTCTGTCCTCCTGGACAGCCTTATGAGCCGCACACAGTGGTGGCTGGGGCGAGGTTTCACAGAGACTAATCATGGAAGCTTTCAGGATGAGCAGAAACTCAGTGAGGCCTAGTGCCGTACCATTATGTGGAGCCTGAGTTGGGTTCAGGTCCTGAGCGTCTGGTAAAGGATGGGTGTGGGGTAAGGAAGAGCTAGAAAGTTCCGCTTAGGCACACACACGCAGCAAAATCATTGACCAAAAAGACAAGGTTTCATAACTTATTGTTCATAATGGAGCTGAAGGAAGCAAGATAGTTCTGCTCACTAGAGTGTCTTCATGTAGGTTAAAAAAAAAAAGTAATAGTTCTGGGATCAGAGAAATAGTCCAAGGACGAAGACACTTACCTCGAATAAGGCCCAACCCGGTTCCCTCCCCCGGGAACATACCATTCCCACCCCGAGCACAGAGCTGGGAGTAGCGCCAGACCACTGCCAGGTGTGTCCTCAAAGCCAGAAAGAAATAAGTTGATTGCGTGATTAATAAATATAAAACTCCCTTTCTGACTCGTCTGCCTTCATCATCTTCCTTTTGCTGCTTGCTAGGAGGCTGCCAAGGTCTCCTTTGTCTCCACTCTGCATGTAGATAATATTCATGAGAGACTTAGGAGTAGGTGACAGGAAGCAATAGAAATGGAAAACTGTGTCTAAATCTATATATTAAAAAATGAACAGCATTGGCAGTTGTTAATGAACAGGAAAGATATAAAAACATGGGAGCCAGGTCCTTCTACTGTAGTGTACAATCAACAGTCTCATTAATTGGATTAATGGTGGGAATAATTCATAAAAATGTGGGGTATCAAAATATGAAACATGTCGCCTGCTTATTTTGAAATTCAGAGTATTGTGTTATACCCAATTAATAAGTTTTGCCAGGATACTATATCAAATAAAAGTCCTTTGCTGTAAAGTAATGAATAGCTATAAATACTACTCAAACAACATATTAAATTTTTTGCATAAATGGAAGCTTCTGGAATGCCTTGAAAAATGTTTCTCCAATATGTTAAGAATTCTTCCCATGATTTGTATAGTATTTGTTTATTAGCAGACCTTTTTTATAGAGAGTAAATTTTAGCTCTCCCTTGCTCAGTCCTTTAAAATTCCATAGAAAGGGACCTTAAATTAATATCAGCCCCGGAGCATTTAAGCATGTAGGGCTAGAAGTCAGCTTTGTGAATTCTATATTCAATGAAAAAGATCAAAGACCATGTCATTCAGAGGTCTGGGGTTTGAGCCAATTAAACTTTAGATATAAAATTACAAAATCTTGATTCAGCCCTTCTTACCCAGCTTAAGAGAGTTAATATTAGAGCCAAAGAGACAGTACAGAGGTTAAGGTACTTGCCCTACATGTGGCCAACCCAGGTTCCAGCACCACATAGGATCCCCTGAGCCCCCCCCACACACACACACACTAGGAGTTATCCCTGAGCACAGACCCAGGAGTCCGCCCTGACCACTGCCCAGTGTAGCCCCAAAAAACAAAAAGAAGAGTTAAAAAACAGACATGGAAACATCAGCAGCCAAGGCCTTGCTACAGTAATTTCGAGTCTTTCCATTTCCAGAAAATAGAGCATTACAGAGATAGAATCGTTATGCTTCAGACACTGCAGATCATTCTAAGTGCCATGACATAATTCCCAAACCAAACCACCAGAGACGGTCAACGTGCTTATACCTGTTCCAGAGCTCATCCTTTGCAAGAGTCTCTGGGGTCTGAGAAGGTACATGAGGGCCGAGGAAGTGTGTGGATCCCATGTCCTGGCTGTGGGCGGGCAGGGGTAGAAGGGTTGAGACTGTGCCCCTTCTGTCTCATCTCCTCCGATCTTGCCATTAGTCAGAATCTCCCTGTGCTCTGACGCTTCTCTGAAATGAGAGCATCGTCTATCCATGCCAGCGGGGAGCTGGCGTGCCCGCCCCACCCTGCAGAACAGAGATGCCCCAGATGGGCTCCTGCTACTGGAGCTGCCCGTCTTCGTCTCCACATGTTCGTAAGAGATGGACTGTTGATCAGAAAGCTCGGCCCCAGTGCTTGTCAGTATGACTCGATGCTAGAGCCCAAGTGTGTAGTGCTTCCTGATGCATGTGGGGGCCCGGAGCCTCCCAGGGATGCTGTGGAAGGCCTTGTGGTACCAAGGGTGGAACCTGGGTTAGGCGTATGCGCTCTAACCACTGAACCATCTCTCTGGCTCCTGAAAACTCTCTGCTTCATGTAGGTACAGGGCTTCTCTGTCAATCAGAATTTCCCAGCTCACTGTTTTTGCCTCCTTTAGGCTTTAATAGGCATTCTTTCTTGTTATTTAGGAGGGGCTGGAACCCATGCCTTGCCTAAATTTCTCTGTCTCCAAGGAAAGTGAGTGGCTTTGGAAAAATCCACAGCAGGCATGAACAGCACCATGGACATTCATAACTGCCCTCCTAGGACCAAGCCAAAGCCACTAGAAGGCTAAGTTGAACTCCCTAAAAGCGCATGGCTCTTGTGTCCTGAGAATGTCTGTCCCATAGCTACAGAGGAAGCCTCAGTGAGCCAGGCAGTCACTACAAGTCTGTTGCATTTTTGCCAAATGAGGAGCACCTTGGGAAAGAATGCAGGATTCATTTGCCTTTATCATCATTACCCTGGAAACAATTCTGGGGAGGGCATTAGGGAGGGGTTGCTTTAGCTGAACCATTTAGATCGGTACATTGTCCCTGCAGGACCAAAGACGCAAATGTGAACCTATCCGGGTAGAGATCTTTTTTTCCCACAATAAACATTTTCCAAAAGCCCGTCATCTTTTTCTGAGCCAACAGTCTAATTAATAGTTCCTGTGCTGTGGAGGTACAGGGTGAAAGAGACAGAGAAGAAGGGAGAATGAATTTGGTAGTAAGACTAATGCTTGTTGAGTGCAGAGTAGAGAGAAAGAACCTTCTGACATATCGTAGCTGTAGTCATACAGAGCCTCCTCTCGGCAGCCTTGGAAATACTCCCATCATTCAGAGAATGTAGATTCTGGGGACATTAGATCAGTCGCCCATGTGACGCAGGTAGGCTGATGAATTTAGGAATTACACTCAGGTCATGTATCTGGCCCAGACGTCATGCTCTAGGGTAAACAGCAGATAAGAAGAGAAGATGTGGAATTGGGGCGATAGTACAGCAAGCTGGGCACCTAATCCCCTGTGTTGCATAGGCACCCCAAGCCCCTACCAGGTGTGATCCCTGAGCACAGAGCCAGGAGTAAATTCTAAGCAGTGCTGGGTAAGGAAGAAAGGGAGGGAAAGAGGAAAAGACAACTACAGTAGTGCATGTGAGTGTGGAGACATTCCAAACCAAGTAGACACTTCCTACAGTTCATACATGATCGGGAAGAGCAAAGCCTTCAGAAACATACTTGCCCAGGCCGATTGAGTTGTAACTCAGTCCTCACTGGTGCCTGACCAGAAAGACTAGCTCTGTCCAGCCTGGACAGCCTGTAGAGAAAGGGAAAGGGGCTTGCTAGAGAATCTCTAAGTGCTGTAAGGGTGGGTGACTTGGGGGCGTAATTACCAGCCTGCACAGCCAGCCTTGTAGTGTTGACATTTCAGCCCTCAAGGTTCTTTGAACCCTCCGCAAAGAATCTGCTGGCTTGTCTGTGTTAGATTCTGGGTTCCCACAGCTAGTGCCTTTGCCACGAAGGAAGCATTGTATCCTGTGATTTGTTTCTCTGCCTCCTGGGTGTCCTCCGTTAAGGTGTGCATCTGTGTGTTTCTTCCCCACAGCAGCAACCCGGCCCATCGCTACTACCTGGCCACAGACCCCGTGACCGGGGACTTGTATGTCTCAGACACAAACACTCGCAGAATCTACCGGCCCAAGTCACTGACGGGGGCCAAGGACTTGACCAAGAATGCCGAAGTGGTGGCCGGGACGGGGGAGCAGTGCCTCCCCTTTGATGAGGCAAGATGTGGGGACGGCGGCAAGGCTGTGGAGGCCACACTCATGAGTCCCAAAGGTATGATTGACACGAGGCTTTTGTTTTTCGTTTGAAAATGAAAAACAAGGGCTGGAGCAATAGCACAGCGGGTAGGGCGTTTGCCTTGCACGCAGCAGACCTAGGTTCGATTCCCAGCATCCCATCCCATATGGTCCCCCGAGCACCACCAGGAGTAACTCCTGAGTGCATGAACCAGGAGTAACTCCTGTGCATCGCCAGGTGTGACTCAAAAAGAAAGAAAGAAAGAAAGAAAGAAAGAAAGAAAGAAAGAAAGAAAGAAAGAAAGAAAGAAAGAAAGAAAGACAAGGGGCTGGAGCTATAGTACAGCAGGGAGGGCATTTGCCTTGCATGCAGCCGACCCAGATTTGATCCCCAGCATCCCAGATGGTCTCCCGAGCACCACCAGGAGTAACTCCTGAGTGCAGAGCCAGGAGTAACCCTTGAGCATCATCAGGTGTGACCCAAAAAAGCAATAAAATGAAATAATTTTGTTTTTTAAATTAAAAAAAAAGGATGGGACACCCAGTTAATGCCTGATGCTGTTTAGTGCTGTCTCCAACATTTTACCCTCAACTGGATTCTGGAATGCTTCTTCCCATGTAGTTTTTTGTTTGTTTGTTTGTTCTTGGTTTTTGTTTTGGGGGGGGGGGGGTCAGTTAATAAGCCTTTTAGTAGGAACCTGCTAGCATCCTTAGTTGATGTTACTGGAAGTGTTTTGTTGTTGCTGTTTTATTTCTTGTTGTTGTTTGTGTTAGTGATGGTGGTTTTGTGTCGTTCCTGCCTGGTTTTTTTTTTTATTATTACTTTTTCTTCCAAGAAGCAAGCGCCCACTCTCCATTATTCAAATCACATGCTGTGACACTTGAAGAAAGTGTCCACATTCTTTCATTGGGCTGGAATTTCTTTGTCTCCAGTGGGGATCTGGGGCCTCTTTCCAAACCATCACTAAGCAACCCTATTAGTCTCTCTCAGTTTGGAACTATTAAACTTTTGTTTCTATGCCATGGGAAGAAAATGCTAGCTGAGAGGAATTTCGGGAGGTCGCAAGAGCTAAAATTCTGTGTGGTCGATGCTTCTAGCCATTAAGTGGATGGGACTGATTTCTGGCTCATGTTTTATGCCAGTCAGGACACTGCATTTCTGGTCTGGGGTATTGTTTTGTTCTTTCATTGCAGTGAGTAACTATTCTATGAACATGGACTGAGAGGGAAGAAAGAGAAGTATTTGTTATACTGAATTATTCATAACAGAATTTCACTGTAACAGGGTCAACAGAACACTAACCTTGGCACAGATCTATTTTTGTTTCAATATAGTTACACAGTTTGGTGCAATAGAAGTTGACCTGTTTCTATAATTTATAGACAACTGCATTATAGAGACATAATTTTATCCTTTTTAAAACACAGGCACTGACTCTGTAAGTCATACTTAGCAAGTGAAGAGCCTTACAAATTTGGGTTAATGTTTTTATTGCATTTTATTTATGTTGTCAGTACTCTTTTTTTAATGTATTTGAAATCTTTAATTCTCATATGTTTGAGATCTTTGACCTCCCTGCTACTCATTGGCCATGGGGTGGGGTGAAATGTTGGGTTTAATGAGGGAGGGTCTCATGAAAATGAGCCACTTTGGATAAATGAGTCCCACTTACTTCTGGTGACCAACAGGAATGGCAATTGACAAGAATGGATTGATCTATTTCGTTGATGGAACCATGATCCGGAAAGTGGATCAGAATGGCATCATATCGACAGTCCTGGGCTCCAATGACCTGACGTCAGCCAGACCCTTGACGTGTGACACCAGCATGCATATCAGCCAGGTAGTGCAGTGGCTGCTTTTCTTCCCGTGGCCTGATTGGCCAACACAGCTGGCTGGGCGGTACTCCCTGAGGCTGCTTCCGTCCTGCCTGGCAGTCGTGGTGATAAAGCGGTTCCATTTCCATGAATCTCAGGAACTAATAAAAAGTTATTTTCTTCTGTAGTTCCGCCTGTGATGAATTCAATGAGAGGCAGAACAATTATCACTGTGAAATGCAAAGCATTTGTAATCAACTACCAATAAATACAGTGGCAGCAGGCAGATACATCCAAAAGGAACCAAGCAGATCACAGCTCTAATCTTGGGATTGCACAAACTCCTTTAAGGAGTGAAAGAACCTTCCAGAGATGAGTCCCGGGGGACTTGTAGCTAGAATTAGAAACTTTACTCTGGGCCTGATTGAAAACACAATAGAACGCTAATGTATTCATAACCCAGAAAGCCCCAACATTTGCTGGTTATTGCTGCTAAGGGAAAGTATGTGTTCATCTCTCATTGCTATCTGGTAACACGCTACTTGGGGGTTCATTTTGCTGTTGGGCTGTAACTTGCAAATCTTTCAGCGAACTGCATTTTTAAGTAAAACGTTATTTCGTCCATTTGTCTCCTCTCGCAGCTCTGTTTTTTTTACAGTAGCATTCCAAACTGCACCTCAGAGAGAAAGAGAGAGAGAGAGAGAGAGAGAGAGAGAGAGAGAGAGAGAGAGAGAGAGAGAGAGAAAGCACAGGCCATAAGGCACTTGCCTTGCAAGCAGTTGACCCCCATTAGATCCCTGGCACCATGTTTGATCCCCCAAGTACTGTCAGGAAATGATCCTTGAGACAGAGCCAGGGGTAAGCCCCGAGCAGCACTTCCAGTATATCCCCTTCCAACTGATAAAAACTAATAAAATAAGTTCTTTTTTTTTAATATAAACAGATATGGGCCAGAACTATAGTATAGCAGGTAGGGTCTTCACCTTGCACCTGTCTGGGGTTCCATCCTCTGCACCACATATGTTTCCCTGAGTCCCACCCAGCAGCAATCCCTGAGCACAGAGCCAGGAGTAAGCACTGTTGGAAGGAGAAAGGGAGGGAGGGAGGGAGGGAGGGAGGGAGGGAGGGAGGGAGGTTGGTTCATTAAAATGGTTGATGGACCCAGCTATATTACCCCATTCGATATTGTTGAATTTCTGGAGCATGTGGCTGCGACACGTCAAACTCTACAGCACTGATAAACCAGGATTAGCACACCACATTGGATGGGGTGTAAAGTAGGAGGCAACCAATCTCAATTAAGAAAATATAAACACACAAGGCTTAACCAATAACAACATATTAATAATCTCTTCTACAAGGGCTTAATGGCTCCTTGGTGAGATACAACAATATTCACACACCTTCTTCTAAGTAAATTATTTTTCATCATTTTTAGCAAATTATAACAAGCAACATAAAATAATTTATTCAGGGCCTGCTAGTGGGGTGAGGGGTGGTTGGGGGAATCAGAAATAATGGTGATGGGAAGGTGCACTGGTGGTGGGATTGGTGTTGGAATATTGAATGTAATCATGAACAACTTTATAAAATTAATAATAAAAACAAAAAACAGTTGATGGAGTTGGATGGGGGGACACTTCCTCCAGATGTTCTCACTGACCCCTGGAGCACACACACACACACACACACTGACTGCCTTACCCACCCATTTCTTTCCCATGCAGGTCCGCCTGGAGTGGCCCACCGACCTGGCCATTAACCCGATGGACAACTCCATTTATGTGCTGGATAACAACGTGGTCCTCCAGATCACGGAGAACCGCCAGGTGCGCATTGCAGCTGGGCGGCCCATGCACTGCCAGGTGCCGGGGGTGGAGTACCCCGTGGGGAAGCATGCAGTGCAGACCACGCTGGAGTCGGCCACCGCCATCGCCGTGTCCTACAGTGGTGTCCTGTACATCACCGAGACAGATGAGAAGAAGATCAACCGCATCCGGCAGGTCACCACGGATGGCGAGATCTCGCTGGTAGCCGGCATCCCTTCCGAGTGCGATTGCAAGAACGACGCCAACTGTGACTGCTACCAGACAGGGGACGGGTATGCCAAAGACGCCAAACTGAACACGCCATCCTCCCTGGCCGCCTCCCCTGACGGTACCCTGTACATCGCGGACCTGGGCAACATCCGCATCCGGGCCGTGTCTAAGAACAGGCCTTTCCTGAACTCCATGAACTTCTACGAGCTCGCCTCACCCACCGACCAAGAGCTCTACATCTTTGACGTCAATGGGACCCATCAGTACACAGTCAGTCTTGTCACTGGAGATTATCTGTACAACTTCAGCTACAGCAACGACAATGACATAACAGCCGTGACCGACAGCAGCGGCAACACCCTGCGGATCCGGCGCGACCCTAACCGGATGCCTGTCCGAGTGGTATCCCCCGATAACCAGGTGATCTGGCTGACCATCGGGACCAACGGGTGTCTGAAGAGCATGACGGCGCAAGGACTGGAGTTGGTCTTGTTCACATACCATGGCAATAGTGGCCTCCTGGCCACAAAAAGCGACGAGACGGGATGGACCACATTTTTTGAGTAAGTACATGAAAACTCGGACTTGGGTTAGAAAAATACCAAACTAATAAGATCAGAAATTGTGTTTCTCATCCTTGTTTTGACCACAGTCCCCTTCCAACCTTGTTTCTTTCCTGGGACTCTTCCCAGAACCCCTCAACCATCTGAACTGGTTGACCCCGCCCCTACCCACCTCCTGCTTTAGGTGAGTTTCACCTGTGGTCTTCAACCAGGCTGGGGAAATACAGAGACCAGTTGGACATTGACTGAGAAATGCTGATCTCAAATAATAGTCATAGAATCTTAAGGGCAGGGGCTGGAGCAATAGTACAGTGGGGAGGGCATATTTGCCTTGCATGCAGCCAACCTGGGTTCGATCCCCAACATCCAATATGGTCCCCCAAGCACTACCAGGAGTAATTCCTGAGTCCAGAACCCGGAGGAACTCCTGAGCGTCACTGGGTATGACCCAAGAAGCAAAAATAAAAGAATCCTAACGGCAGGTGGGAGAAGGGGCCTGGAACATTTGTAATTTGGTGACTTGGGGACCCTCTTTCCAGAAAGGAAAACAAAATGACAAGGCAGTAAATCCAACTCAGAGTCTTGAAAGACTTTGGCCTTTGCTGATATTTCATCATCATCAGACTTTTCTCAGGGATAAATTTCTACACACACACATACACACACACACAGATACCACCACCACCAACAACAACAACGACGACGACAACAATAACCAGCACACCTTTTAGAAAACATTCTATGACATTCATGGAGAATGTGAACACATATTCCCACGAGATAAGACTGTGTGTTGAGTGCTGCCATTGAGAGCACATGCTTATATCAGTGATCCCAGAGTCTTTCTTGCCAAAGTGAAGGACCTGACCCTTTAGGATTAATAACCGAGTCTGTAAACTACCGTTTAAAGATCTTTCACACTAAAGGCAGTTCAGGAGTTTCAGAGCTCTAGAAGCATTTAAAAATGATGATAGGGCTGGAGCAATACCACAGTGGGGAAGGTGTTTGCCTTGCACTCAGCCAACCCGGGTTCGATTTCCAGCATCCCATATGGTCTCCCAAGCACTATCAGGAGTAATTCCTGAGTGCAGAGCCAGGAATAACCCCTATGCATCGCCGAGTGTGACCCTCCCCCCACAAAAAAGATGATTATCCATGGGCCAGAGAGAGAGCCCAGGGATTAAGACTAGATCGCCCTACAAGCAAGAGATGCTGGTTCAACCCCTGGCCTCAACACTTCAACACTTATGTTCCCCCATGCCTCTCCAGGAGTAAGCCCTGAGTAGCCCTAGATGTGAAGGCTGCCGGAGAGTGTCTTCTCCAGGGAGTGTCTTCTCCAGGATGGCCTGTGCCTGCAGTCCAACATTCTTTTTTTTTTTAATTTTTATTAGTGAGACACCATGAGGTACAGTTGTAGACTTACAAATTTTTTGTGCTTGGGTTTCAATTATACAATGATCAAATACCCATCCCTCTACCAGTGCCCATTTCCCACCACCACGGATCCCAGTATCCCTCCCACCCCCCCACCCCCTCATCCCACCCTGCCTCTGTGGCAGGGCATTCCCTTTTGTTCTCTCTCTCCTTTTGGGTGTTGTGGTTTGCAAAAAAGGCAATGGGTGACAAGGAGGTGCCTGAGGATGAAGCCAGAAGCAGCCATTGGTCACTCTTTGGTGTCTGATATTTGCAGCAGATGTGACTGCCGAGTCCCTTCAGCTGACTTGTTCACTTGACTGACAGGGCACACAACCAGAATGGGGAATGTGATGTCCAGGGATGGCATGTTGACAAATTCAAAACAGTCCTGGAGATGAATATTGAGGCTCCTTCTGGGGATTTTTTTTTTTTAACAATGATGCGCCGAAGCAGAAATCTTTTCTATGGGCGCTCACTTCCCACGTTGTAATAAAAGTCAGTAGGGGAAAGAAATGGTTCCATAGACAAATATTTTCTCAGCAGCTCTTCTGGAATGGCTCTTGGACACAAAGCCCAGCTCTGCCATCCCTCCGACGGCGGGCGCACTTTGGCAGACTCCGTCTCGCTCGATGAATGGGGCCCGGCAGCGTGATTCTGTCAGAGGAACAAATCTTTTCAACTGGATTGCATTAAGATTCTGTCCTTAACATCCCTTTTGCTCATTTCGGGATCACACTAGGAAAGGAATAAATTGGAAGTTAATGGAAAGCACTTCCTCTGCCCTGTTTCATAGTGATGGTGGGCTGCGTGCCAAAGAAGGGGGCACGTCGCGGGTGAGCACGCAGGGAGCACTTTCAGAGGAAAGAGCTTCTTCAGAAGATGGTGTGGGGCTGAGCCGGAAGTGGGGGGTGCAGAGAAAGGAATTGTTTAGGTTGACCTTTGACCTTCAGGCCACACCCTCCAGTGCTGGAGGCTCACTTCTCTGGGGGCTGCTGTCCACAGTGCTCAGGGTACACGCAATGCCAGGCCTCAAACCCAAGCTCCTGGCATGCACAGCCTGTGCTGTCTGTCTGCCCCCTCCAGATGGGTTTTAATCAAGTCTGAAACAGTCAAGACTGGCGTACACCATCAGTGTGTGGCTATGGGGGAGTGTAAGAAAATTTGAGACATTTACCTGTTTTTTTTTCTTTTTTGTGTCATACCCAGCAATGCTCAGGGGTTACTTCTGGCAGTGCTCATATGGAATGCTGGGAATCGAACCCCGGTCAGCCGCATAAAAGGCAAACGCCCTACCTGCTGTACTATCGCTCCAGCCCCAACTCTTTTTTTTTTCAGTAATGGGGCACATTTTTGGGTTTCCTGGGGGGGGTTTTGGGGGGGGATGGGGAGCTGGGGGTATACCTAGTGGTGCTCAGGGTCTCCTCCTGACAGTGCTCAGTAGTTGCTTTTGGCAGTGCTCAGGGGCCTGTCTCTAGTGCAGAGGATTGGAACCAAACTGGTGACATGCAAGGGTGACACCTTACCACCAGGCTGTCTCTGCAGCAGCAGAGATGACTTCCTTTTATTTTTACTTAAATAGAAAGTTCCTTTTTTTTTTTAATTTTTCCCCACATCCCAGAGCTGTGCTTTCTTCCTTTCTATCTTTCTTTCTTTCTTTCTTTCTTTTTTAATTATTGAATCACCATGAGCAACACACAAAGCTTTCACGTTTGAGTTTCAGTCATACATTGATCAAACACCCATCCCTCCACCAGTGCACATTTTCCACCACCAGTGTCCCCAGGATCCCTCCCCCTGCCCCATCCCACCCCTCCCCCTGCCTCTCTGGAAGACATTTCCCCCATACTCTTTCTCTACTTTGGGGCATTATGGTTTGCAATACAGATACTGAGAGGCCATCACGTTTGGGTCCTTTATCTACTTTCAGCACACATCTCCCATCCTGAACGATCCCTCCAAACATCGTTGACTTAATGATCACTCAAAGATGACTTCTTAAGGATAAGAATGTCCATTGAGAAATTTCAAGGAGCAAGGAAATTGCTCCTTGAGGCAACTTCTCTCTAAGGTTACTTAGAGTTGCGTGGGTCCCTCTTGTGATTCATGTAAGAAGTGGCCGGTCTTCAGAGACTCTCTCTGGATGCCATGCGCACATGACTGAGCATCCGCGGGTTATCTTTCTGGGTCTGGGTCTGGGTCTGGTTCAGGTTCTGGTTCTGGTTCAGGTTCTGGTTCTGGTTCAGGTCAAAGCAGGCAAAGGCCCTGTCTGGGTCTGTGCCTGCTACTCCGCTCAGTGGCACTTTTTCTCTCTTGGGCCATCAGCCCTGAATCTGTCAAGGGAGACCGCTATGGGATCTTTCATGAGCTGCATTCAGAGATACAGGGCAAACTAAGGAGTCACCCCCAGACCCCCTTGTGTATGGGTGTAATGGGAGATGCGGATTTCCAGTCTCTTGTTGGGGTGTTTCATTGGCCCTCGTTCAAGCTGAGCCATTTCAAAATGAGCCTCTGAGTCATTTCTGTATCATGAACATCGCTGTGTGCCCAGGCCCAAGCCCCATCTCGCGGTGATGTCCAGTCTCCCTCGGGGCGGGGTGGCTAAGAGAGGTGCTCAGAGGAGGGGCTGGGCTGTGATCGAGCACCTGAGCTACTGAAACTTCACAGATGCCCAAAGCACAGACTACAGGACTCAGTCAATGAGGCCAGGTTAGAGGGGACACAGCCATTCTCATTGACTCCAAGTCCTGATGGCCGAATCTTTCTCTGCCACGTCCTGTGTGTATGTGGTCCCATCAGAGCAACTGATTTGAGGGTCAACAATCAGGGCATCGTCCACAGCATAATCTGTCATTGGATAAGCATCCAACAGCTGTTCCTAAACACTCCTACACTGCTGCCTAGTACTGTGTGAAAATCCAAATGGCCCCTTTTCTAAATGAGGAAAAAAAAAATCATTCTTTTCCTTTATTTTTTTCCGTCTTGTTTCTTGATAGAATAAAGCATGAAGGACTAAAGAATGGTTTGAGTACCCAAGGACAGTAGACATAAGGGCCAGGAATATGGCCCCATAGTTGGCAGCCTGTCTCATGAGCTGGGGGAGAAGGCAGCTGGAATAGAGAAGGGATCACTAAGTCAATGATGGTTGGAGGAATCGTTTAGGATGGAAGATGTGTGCTGAAAGTAGATAAAGGACCAAATATGATAATCTCTCACTATCTGTATTGCTAACCGTAATGCCCAAAAAGTAGAGCAAAAGTATGGGGGAACTTGTCTGCCATGGAGGCAGAGGGAGGGTTGAAGGGGCGGGGTGGGATACTGGGGACATTGGTGGTGGAGAATGTGCACTCGTGGAGGGATGGGTGTTTGATCACTGTATTACTGAGACTCAAACGTGAAAGTTTTGTGACTGTATCTCATGGTGATTCAATAAAATAATAATATAAAAAAATTTAAATTTTTTTTAAATTTTGAAAAATGGTTTGGGTGGGGCAGAGCAATAGTACAGCAGGTAGGGCATTTGCCTTGCACATGGCCAACCTGGGTTCGATTCCCAGCACCCCATGTGATCCCCTGAGCACTACCAG